ACGGCGCTCCCCGCTCGCCCCTCCATGTGCAATGTCGGAGATCCTGGCCTGGCCCCGGAGTCCATCCAGGCGCAGGATGCGGGGACCTGGCCTGGCCGCCCCCCTCCCGGACGGATGCTCCGCGGGAGAGAGGCGAGAGCGCTTTGCGGGGCCGGGTCCTGCTCGCCCCGCCAGCAGCGGGGACCGGCCGGGCCCTTTCCCCCGTCGCCCCCTCCCCCGTTTGCAGTAATCGTTGCTCCTTCCCGCTGCCAGCAGCGATCGGCGGCTCCTGCCCTCCCGGGCCGGGCTAAAACGGTTCGATTCGTTTGCTGTTGTAAATACGAGTCCCCGACCCCTTCCCGACCCTGTCCGCTGCCTGACCAACGTGTGGGTGCGGTGAAACTACCTAGAGGTGCATTTGGGAACACTCCTGTGCCGGGTTTTCTACCTCAGATCTGCATGACCACTTCCCGAGGGACCGGGCGCGCCACACCACGTATTTAAAACTGAATAACTAAAAAAAAAAAATTAAATAAAATGAAATTTAAACTTTATGCAAACGGTCTCGGGTCCGAGCCCTCTGCCTTCCCCTGCTCCGGCAATCGTGCAGCTGCAGCCGGGCCCCCTGCGCCGTCCGCGGGGCGAGGGGTGCTGCGGGATTAAGGACCCCTCTGAAGTCAGTACCCTGCTGTAGGGCCGATCCATACGAGGGAATCCCTCCCCTGGTGCCTTGGGCAGCTCCGTGGGATCCTTTGGGACTCGTTTGTGCCGTGCTTGCTCGCCCCGGGAGCTGGCAGGGCTCTACAAACGTGTACCCGCAGTCTGCCCCAGGGCACGAACTTCGCCCCTGCCCTACAACCCCTTTCCCCCCGACTCAGGAGACCTGCTGGAGGAACTGGACTCGTATTTGGCCTGGGGAAGGATGGCAGGATCAGGCCTCTACAGCGTCTGCGTGGCACGAGCACCGGTGAGCTGTGGAGTGCCACTTTTATTGCTGCCACGCAGAGAAGCAACACTCGGCTGCCCTTCCCTGCCCAGGCAGCTCACCCGGCTCTGACACCAGGAGCACTTTCTCCCAGGGATCCCCTCTTGGGCGCTGCCTTGGCCAGCGGGGGATGTTTTGAAGGCACAACATCCCCTCTCCTCCATCCAAATGCGATGGACACCACGAGCCTCAGACATACGAATGCTCACACAGCCTAAAGTCATCTCTGCCACCTCTCAGGCATAAATCCTTAATAATCCTTAGTAATTAAAGCCAAATCCTCATTCCTTTATTCTGTGCACACACGGTTTTCCTACCAGAGACTACCAAGACGTGTGTGCAGAGGCTCAGGGCCTGATCCTGACTTCCCATGCCGTTGCTCCCAGAGACACCAGGATAAACCCTTACACTCGTCGGCTGCTCAGGAAAAAGAAAACCAGCATAGGGAAAACTTGTACATTATTGTAGGGCTAATCTGAGAGCTCAGCAGGGAGCTTTACATTTGCTATTTGAAACCAAGCTTTTGATTGCGACCAAAGGTGTAGAAATAATGATGCAGCATCTGTAAAACGCTGACATGTCGGACAATCTGCTTGTGCAGCCACACACACCGAAAATACCCCAGCTCACCCGTGAGGAAGCGGCTCGGGTTTTACAGCAACTTTGTGTGTGTGTACAAATACAGACGGACAGACACACAAACATTCGGGGGTCTGGCCAGCGTAATTAAATCTTGATGAAGGATCTGGCTGCATGAATCAGTCTTCCCCCCTGCAAGGCTGCCTTCCCAGCCCCTGATCTATTTTCCGATCTCTTTGAGTGAGGCTGAGATAAAAATTGACTGCCTGAGAGGAGCAATGTCCGTAGTGTTTTTTGTTGCTGTTGTTGTTGTTGTTGTTTTTTGTTAGAGCTATAAAAAGTTTAGCATGGTACCAATTCCAAGAGTAAAGTTAGAGAGTAGGGCATTCGTAAAACCAAACTCATTCAGGGGGAAAAAAAAAAGGAAAAAGAAAAAAAGAAAATGTACAGAAAATCAGCCCCAACTATCCTATTTTACGGCTAAGTTTCACAGTCCCTTAAGTGTCGGGTTTTTACGGGAAAGCTCCCAAGCCATCACTAACACTGTAATCCAGCGCCCCACAAATGTATGGAGCCCCCGTCCTGTTTACGTGTGCCAGCCGGTATCCCTGTATCCATACGGCACCAATCGGGGCTGAGGGAAAGGGTTAAATGGGGACCTGGGACTTGCTTTGCTGCGTGAGGCAGGGGCGACTCTGCACAGGAGCCGTGTCCTCGGTCCCGGCACACCAGGCTCCATCTGCAACATCACCCGCCGCCTACGGACATTTTACTCCACCAAAAACTTCCACTGCTTTTTATTTTACGGCTTTCCAGCTCTGCTTCTGGGATGGGGCACCCTGCACCGCCGGGCCGATGTCCTGCGTGCATCCGCAGGAATTTCGCTTTTCTTACCACAGGTTTCTGCTGGTAGTACCTGCTGGCTGCAAACTTCTAGGGAAGGTGTCCCCCGTGCCAGCCTCCCCTGCTCTTTTGGGACTTTGCAAGTGAAAACGCTCTCCGTTTCCACGGCTGCAGAGGATTTCCCTGCCCAGCAAAGGGGTTTCCGCCTGAGATATTGGCTCCGTGTTTTGGGGGAGAGTGGGTAAAAAAAACAAAAACAAGGCACTAAACATTTCCTGTAGGCAGGGACTTCCCTGCTCCCCAGAACGCTTTGGAAGGGCTGTATTTCCCGGGAGCGAGTTCCATCCCACCTCGACACCGGGCACGCGGTTCTGCCGCGCCGGGGTCGGGAAGGGGAGTCCAGGCTGAGCTCAGCGCCGGTTCCAGCCTAGGGTGGGGTCACCCCTTCACCCCCAAAGGGAGAGGAGCTGCAGGGGAGTGGGAGTCCTGCACAGGAGCAGCTTCCCTTCCTCCGGCAGCGAACCTGAGCGGCTGGGGACGGAGTCTCGGCAACCTCTGGCAGAGCTCCCGGTGCTCCCTGCACCAGAACTGGCTGGAAGAAGAAAATTCCAAGCCACCAGCTTGGAAGTTTTGGCTATTTAGGGGCCTAGCTCGTCGGTCAGGGGAGGTGGCCCTGCACACACCTACAGCGCGACCCTGCCGTGAACTTGATGCCGTTGGGAAGCAGCTCGCTCCGGGCGCGCCGGCTGCAGTCGGCAGTTGCCTGGACAGAAGCACACGCGCGTCGGGACCGCTTGGCCCGGGGCAGCATCATACGTGCCATGTTCCCTGCCGCTGGAATCCAGCCACGAGGGACGGTGGAGGGGACTCTGCTGCCTGCCCTGGCCAAGGGGCAAGTGCTGGGGGAAGAGGGGTTGTCGAGCACTTCCCACCTCTCGCTCTGCACCTCTAGGGTTTGGTGTGCAAAGGAATGGCTCCTTTTTTGCCTTTTTTTTTGTTTTGTTTTTCCCCTCCCTTTCTGCCAAGCCCAGACCCTGCTTCTTGTTGTTGTAGGTATTTATGGGCCTGTTTATCTGATCTCGGGGGAGCCTATTCTTATCTCAGAAGCAGCAAGGGAAGGGTTACACTGGACAGCTCGGTAGACAGGATGGAGCCAAATAAAATACCAATCCGACAAAAAAAAAAAGGAAAAAAAAAAGAGGGGGGGAAGAAACCCCCAGCCCCAGCCACCCGCTCACCCATGAGCATGGTCCAGGCTGCCAGCTGGATTTGCCAGCCCAAAAACAGCTGCTGAGTTTGGGCAGACAGCACAGCCCTGGCACAGAGCAGAGGAGAGCGCAGTGTAATGACCCTGAAAGATGGGAAGAAAAACTAATTTAAAAAGTTTCAGATCGGTCGTTACGGCCGTTCTGTTGTGATGCTGCTGTTCGCTGTTTCCTTGGGGTGAGCACAGAAATGTCCCAGCTCGGGCTCAGAGGCACAGCCGGCCCCAGCCTTGGCAGGGACTCACTCGAGGTCATCCCGAAGGTCACGGCCAGGGCCAGCGCTGCTGCCTCCCGTCAGGGGGCCCCTCTGGGCTGGCCCCAGCCGGTGACACAGGGTTGGGGGAGGTGTGGGACAGGGGCAGCTCCCTCCGGACACCACCCTGGCAGGGAGCGGCAGAGAGCCCCACCTCTGCTTGGCCTCCCTGGAGCCCAGGCGTGCAGCAGGGCTCGGCCAGAGTGAGTAGGATGGGATGGGATAAGATGGGATGGGGCTGGGTGGGATGTGCCCTCCTGCCATGCCCAAGCAGGGGAACAAGGGCAGCCCCATGTCAGGGGTACCCCCCGTCCTTGCCCCCTCCCCACCCCACGCCCCACTAATTACCGCTCTGAAGGAAGCGCCCGATAGTTCAGGCCACTTAAGGTAGCCCCAGCCCCTCTCAGTAAGGGGAATTGGGCCATAATTTGTTTTCGGTGTCAAGATGGCGTCAAAGATAAGACAAAAATCTCCAGGTTTGGGGGCTAAAGAGACAGGAGAAATCCTGACCCGGGGCCGACCTCGGAGGAATGGCCACAAACCCCAGTGAGTCACATGGCAGGTGAAAGATTTACTGCCAGGGGAGCTTTTTGATCCTCTCCCAACACTCGGAGCCTCTTAGCCCAGTTGCCGGCTCCCAAGTCAGACTGTCTCCTGGGAACACTGCTCAGGTGGGAAGATTTTCTATCCAGCTGAGCCCCCCCCCAGATCCAAAGTTCATGACATGCAACAGCTCCTCCTCAAATCTCTGTGCTCCTGGAGTCACGTGATTCTGAGACTTGTCTGAAGAGAAGATGCATTTCTAATCCATAGCTGTAGAAATTATATCCAAGCATGGGAAGACTCTGGAGCCATAAGGCAGATAAAGACTCTATGTTTTTTACTTTCTTGCTTTTGTTTTATTTTCTAAACCAAATCCAAACTCACTGGGTTTTCACCCCTGTGGCAGTACCTGCTTGGGACCAAACACTGAGCTCTGCCCAGGGGATATTTTTCCATGCAGCTGCCTGTGCTGGGAGAAGACCGAGAACTCTGCACCTTGGGACAATTTCCCCAAGACCATTCCTCAAACAGTGGACAAACTAATCATCCATCCCATGTCCCTACCTCTCCAAAGCCAACCTGGATTGCTCCTTTATTCCAAGAAGGCCCTTTCCCCAGTGCAGAGGGTTGTGAGAAGTGTGTATTTACTCCTTTCACAAGACTCACATGCTTGGGGTGGGGTTAGCCATGGTCACTATGGCTTTCTGCAAAATGACCTGTCCTCGTCCTGCTCCGTGGTGGAACTTGCCTTAGCAAGGACCTTCTCTGGCAGTGCTGACACTTGGCTGCTGATTTTTCACTGATCTTCTCTCATGACATCTCAGCACAGCCCTCAGGTGAGGCTGGGCGGTGTGGGGTGGCACAGAAGCTCACTTGTGTCTCACACAGCAGCTGGATTTGAGGTCCAGGATGGAAGCTGGCTGGGAGCTGGTGGAGCACCAGTGCCATACAGCTCAGGACAGGACCCAGTGCCATCCCCACAGCTCTGCGATGCTGGATGAGCTCTGCCTCTTCTGGTTACTCCAAAGCTGAAGTGCAACAACAAACCTGCAGATCAGAGGGGCCAAGGAGCCAGATGGACCTGCTGGAGCATGAGTGGGAAGCACAGGCTGGGAGGAGGGTGTTCACTGGCGAGAGGGGAGTGAGGGGCACTTACCCAGGAGGCTTGAGCTGAGAGACTGCAGAGCAAGAAACCACGCTTGGAGCCTTGCTGAGTCCTTGTGACAGATCCCTGAGGTGGGGAAGGCCCTTGCTTGCAGTTTCCTCTTCCCCTGCTTCTTCTTTTGTGTGAGGAATTCAAGTCCTGACCACCCTGAAAGACTTTACAGTAACCAGAGTAGGGGAATTTATGGCGTCACCCGTGGCTGAAAGCTGAGGGATTGAGAGGAAAAGGGGTTTTTTTTCCTTAGACTGGAGCTACCTTGACAAAATTCTCATGGCCTGTGACTGACCTGCAGGAGCAGCTGAGGGGGAAGTGGGGACCAGAGCAGGCTGGTTTAATTGCCTTGGCCAGGAGCTCCTTCCCAAGCTGAGATGTGGGAAGGAGTTACGAGTCTGAGCTAGTGCACAAAGCTTGTGTCAACTCCGAAATTCCCTCCTCTGCTCACCTCCACTGTTTGGCTTCCGCTGCTTTGGTCTGCTGGCTGATGGAGAGGAGGAGGGCAGGCTGCGCACTGGGACTCATCAGCTTGGCTCAAACTCAAGCCTGGGCTGCTGTGTTCAACAACTCACCTGACAAAATACCCAGGAACCAAGGCAGCTGCTTAGAGCTGAACCCACACAATTCCATACCCAGCGCCCTTAAGAATCTTTTAGATTTCTTGGAACATGGCATAAAAATGCGGGAAGGCCCTTGTGGAGATACCTTTGTTGCCTTAGGGAGCGATGAAGGACTTGGAGAGATGAGCAGCTGAGAGGAGTGGGGAAAATAGGATCAGGAAAAGGAGAAAAGGAAGACAAGGATTAGCCTGGAGAGGGACAGCATCTCCCTGGCACTGTAGTTTGTCAGTACCCAGTGCTATCACTGTGCCAGTGAAGGCCTTCAACCTGCTTTTTACCCCCAGGAAAAGGAAGCCAGAGAGGGCTGAGGTGAGTCAAGGCCAGCAGTAGTGAACCAAGGGCTCTGCATTTACAAGGGAGTCAGGGTTTATGGCCAGTAAAGTGGAAATCGCAGGAAAAAATTAAACAACCTGGTTCTGTTGGAAAGGTGGACCGGACAAGGAAGAGCTCAACAGTCCCATTTTAGACCAGTGGGATGCTAATGGGATGCCCATCACTGTGCTCTCTGGTCCCTGGCAGTCCATACCTGTGGTAGGAGAAGCAGCAGAGCCATCTCAGCTGCCTGACACTTCCCTCTTCCCCACAGCACCATGTGGTGATCATGTAGTGCTTCCTGCAATACGTAAAGGCAACAGATCCTGCAGAACGTTCCCCAAAAAATTAAGTAAAAGCACACTGTGGGGGGGTTGAAGTACTTACAGAAGAAAATGGCACTGCCTGCAAGGGTTAGAGGTGGGAAATCGACTCCAGCTCCTGGCAGAGACTGAGTGCTCGTGGAACTGTGCAGTTATCTCTTATTGGATAGAGGGGAAATAAATAAATTATGAAAAAAAAAAAGCACCCTGAGGCTGTCCCCCACACACTCCTCCTGCTCAACCACATCTCTAACACACAAAACCATTAAATCCACATTCACATTTTTCCCCAGCCCTCTGTGCTGCCCTCTCTGCTGGGGAGAGCACAAGTGATGCCTGGTTTCCATCAAGGCTGCGAGGAGGCCGCGGGGCGGCTCACGCAGAGGATCGGACGTGTTCAATTTCAACGTCCAACCAGGGGAAAAAAAAAACCAACCCAAACCCAAACAAACCATTTTTATGATCTCCACATCCCAGCACAGCATAATCCCGCTTCCGGTCTCTGACAAGCACAGCCAGCTCCTGCCGAGGAGGCATTTTTGGGATGGGGACACGGCCCTGGTGCCCCCGGCAGATGCCCCGGGCTCGGAGGTGCAGCTGCCGAGCACCCACCTCCCGTGTTCCTGAGCTAACACTGCCCTCACACGGCAGCCGGGAGCGCAGAGAGGGATGTGCAGTTTTCAGCTCATCAGATCAATCTGCTGCTTCCTCAGTTTCTCAGTGTGGTTATGTTAAAGACTGAGCAGATTCTGCCTTGGTTTTGAGCTTCTTCTGTGGGTCTCTTGGCAGGGAGCAAACATGAGATTAAGTCGCATTATTCGTTAGCCTGTGCAAATAACAGATTAACTGGCAGCATTTATTTCTATCACAAGTTACCCTGGGATGCAGGATGGGGTGAGGGGGGCAAGTGTCCCCTGCAAGGGCCACAGCAGTATAAATAGGCATATTCCCACTGAACAACAATAAGGAGACAGGTCTTTTGATTGTAGGACAGCACCAAGGAAGAAGGAAGGATTCAGGAGATGCTGTGGGATTGTTTCAGGGAGAATTATCTGTGCAAATCTCTACTGCACATCAACAGTGCAATTTCACAGAATCACAGAATATGTGGAGTTGGAAGGGATCCACAAGGATCACTGAGTCCAATTTAATTTGACAGTGATAAATTCTGGCCTTGTATTTTAGGTATAAAGCTTTCAACATTCAATCATCCTCCTCTGTGAGAGCCCAAGTGTCTGAAAAGCTATACTACAACTTCTTTCCTGGCTAAAAATCATGGCTAAAGCATGACTCAAGCCAGTGCCAGCACAGCTTTTGGAAACACCATGACAGGGTTCAGGAGAATGAGTACTCAAGTTTCTGGCACCACTCGCTTCTTCACTGCAGCAAAAAAGTGAGGCACCTTTATCTGTAAGGCTGATGGTCAGGAGGAACCACAATATGGGAAAAAGAAATGAAACAAAGCTCTTAATGGGAAAGGATCTTGAGCACTGGGATGCTACATCTCAGCATTGCTCTGGTGCAGCACCCACCTTGTCAGCTGGACATGCAGCTTTGACTCTGGACAACATGAGCCATAAGCCATGTGTAAAACGAAGCCAAGGCTGTGCTTGAGAAGCAAGCAGAAGCACAGGGCTGAACTAGACATAAAGAAGACTCATTAGGAAACATGAATCAAAAGAGAAGCCGCACTTGATTGACTGGACATGATACTGGAGGGGAGGATCCCCATCGCAGAAAAGCCCAACACTCCAAAATGCAAAGTCACGTGGTTCTTCAACAACCTCCATCCTTCTTGTGAGTTGTATTTTTGTTGCATTCAAAAGACTCCATGAATTGCACTTGTACAACTGACATGGGTTTGTCACAAAATATCTCATCAGCTGAGTTTTTCTGCTCCAGGCTTGGCATTCCCAGTCAGCAGTGCCACTCTCTGCTCTTTGTCGGCAGTTTTCAGCCCTGGGGAGGTGGGTGGGAAAAGACGGTGAATCTCAGAAGTCTGACAAAAAAAACCCCACATCCATACAAAGCAGAACTCCACTGGCTCTAGAGCCATCAGTGCCAAGGGCAGAAAGGCAAACAGAAGGGAATGTAGGCCTTGTTGCTAGATAGATCATTTATTAAAGTGAAATTCAGCATCTTATCTTTGTCAGACAGTACAGAGTTAAAGTCTCATACACAGTGAAAGCAGGACATTTCCTACACCTCAGAGAAATGAGTTCTACAGCTTTTGCTATAAGTTACTAAGTTGCTTTAACAATACACAGCTATATTACACAGTTAAAAATACAAGGTGTCCAAAACATTTGGCATAAGATCAGCACAACACATGGAGGCCAGAAACAGAAGAGGGAACACAGTTTTTCTCTCCCAGTAAGCCTGCCAAAAGACCCTAAACCATTCTGCAAGTTACCTGCTACCCATTGCACCAGCTGAGGAGCAAAGCTGTGGGTAGGACAGGAGTAAACCCAACCCTGTTAGGGCTCAGGTTAGCCAGAGGCTCCTGGAGCCTGCTGATGTACAGGATGGCCTGCAGAGCTGCTTTCAAGGGAAGTTCAGGTTTAAGGCAGGAGCCTCCCCCTCTCCCCATACTTTCTTCAAGCATTTAATTCATCCCAATCAGATGTGTTCACAGGCAAGTCAAGGGATAGCTGTGAAAAGTGCAAGGAATATCTTACATTGTAACAATTCATTTGCACTTCTAAAGTGGGAAATGAAAACTCCCTAACTTGATAAGCTAGAGATGGCTAAAGGACATCAGTGACACGAGGAGTGAGGCATCAATAACATTCCTTCACCTTTGGGACTCTTCAGTCAATAATCTGGGCAGTACAGGGACTCCTTCTGGACAAGAGGCCACCTTGTACTACCCGTTCTTCTAAACTGTAGAGGCAAAGTGACTCTAGTGCTCTAGGGAAGTACTGCCATCTGCCAATTTAAATAAACAGTCCCTCAGCAGACCCTCCCCTCCTACTGCAGTTACTGCTGAAGATCTCCCATTGGTATTTACATTTGGCTCAACCAAAAGATGTAAAGTGCACAGCTCCCCTTCCTCCCCCTCTCATAAAACATCCATCACAAGAGCTGATGCAGAACAAATCGTCCTCCACACTGCTGCCTGTGGAAGCGTGTTTTGTTCAGTCTCTGTGGGTCATGTCCTGTTTCATACTCTCTGTGCCATCATGACCCACATACAAACTCCCATTAACTGTGGATTATTTCAGCTCTTGTATTCAAAGCCTCTCCGAACCCAGCCTGCACTTCAGACTCACTTGAAATGCCAGACTTGATGTGTTTTGGTCAAGTCTTGCACATCGGGGTATCTGGTGATTTACAACCACATTTCTAGGAAAAACTGGGACCCAAAATGCTGGGGACAAGTGGTACAAACCTGCCCGCTCTGCTCTTTTCAGGCTGAGCATCCAAAGTGCCTGGCAAAAGAAACATTTTAATGCAATTGTGTACTTCAGGTTGATAGACAATAACCTTTGAGATTCAGAAATTTTGAAAACTGCATTCTAACACAGCCTCCTTGGATATATTTGCACTTTTCAGCCATCAAGTTGCCAACAACTTGAGTCTTTGCATGCTTCCAACTCCCTTGAGCTGAGCTCAAGCCTGTAACTACCAGCAATGATTTCTCCTTCTTCCCTTGAAGTGAGCAGAGGGTCAGCATACAGGATGAAATTAACCCCAGAAGAGATGTTTCTGCATTATTTGGATTGCATACTAATGGCTTCGGATCTAGTCAGAACTCTAATTAGGTTAAAGCAGCTCTTCAATGAGAATTGAGCTAGGCTATGGAATGGCATTAGGCTATATAATGGCTGGAGACCTTCAGACATGATTCCTCTGCCCCAGGGTGAATGTCACCTATGCAGGCTTGTAAGAAATAAGCTTCCACTATTATAAATAGAAGATGACATCTGGTCATCCTCCATGCCCCCAAGGCTTGTGCTCCATGGTTCAAAGCTAGACAGAATTTAAGGCCCATCTGTGAAAAGCAAAATGCAAAAGGAAAAAAAAAAATCTTATCATACCAGCCAAAGCGATTTGGGTCTTACACCTTTCCAACAAGTCCCATCTAAAAGTGCTGAGAAAATGTCCCACCTCATGGCTTCACAAGTGTGAGGTTCAAACACATTTACTTGGAAGTTTCAAATAAAAAAGTTGGAAAGTCTTTTTTTCTCAATTGGCATGCAGCATAAGGAATCGAACACACAGCACGGTATTGTACACAACGACAATTGCATTGTTGCGTTTTCTGGTTATTAGACACTAAATGCTTTTCAAGAATCACAGGCACCCTGAACATGGATATTGCTACTGAATTGACGTGTGGTTTTAGTTCATAGCACGGGAGCCATCAAGTGGCTGACCCTTCCAACAAGACATCGGCTTTCTGTTGCTCAAGGCGTTTTGCTCTAGCTAAGTTGAGAACAAGGTAATAAGGCATTTGCAAGGGGTTTATAAGGCCATGGGGTCCGACAGCCAAAGATTCTTCTGTTTCTTTGGTGTCTTGCCTCCAAGCTTTCCACCTTATAAACAACTGCTAATGGCTGGTAAACATCTCTTCATCATCACACTTCACCAAGAATATTTTTCAAAAAAGTATAATTGCTTTAGAAGTGAAACCAACAAGGATCACATTTCACATCAATTGACTATTTTCAGGAAAAAAAAGAAAAAAAAGTTTCCTGGATACCACCTCTGCACAAAAGCATTCCAGTGAATACACCTGAACAGATGGAACCTGCCACCATATTTCCTTGAAAAGAATCATTTTGCTGATGGCTACTAAAGCACCCCAACAGATTTATTTACTCTTAGAAATAAAACAAAATAAAATACAACAACAAAAAAAGTAAATCCCAAACAAACTACATTTTTACAGTTTTGGTCTAGAATCACAGAATCAATTAGGTTGGAAAAGACCTCTGAGATCATCGAGTCCAACCTATGACCGAACACCACCTCGTCAACCGGAACGTGGCACTAAGTGCCAAGTCCAGTCTTTCCTTAACCACCACCAGGGATGGTGACTGCACCACCTCCTTGGGTAGCCCATTCCAATGTCTAATCACCCTTTCTGTGAAGAATTTCTTCCCAATGTCCAACCTAAACTTCCCCTGATGCAGCTTAAGATCACATCCTCTTGTCCTGTTGCCGGTTGCCTGGCAGAAGAGGCTGACCCCCACCCGGTTACACCCTCCTTTCAGGGAGCTGTAGAGTGTGATAAGGTCACCCCTGAGCCTCCCCTTCTCCAGGCTAAACAATACCAGCTCACCTAGCTGCTCCTCACAGGACTTGTGCTCCAGATCCTTCACCAGCTTCACTGCCCTTCTCTGGAGTCGCTCCAGCACCTCAATGTCCTTCCTGAATTGAGGGGCCCAGAACTGGACACAGGACTCGAGGTGCCTCACCAGTGCCAAGTACAGGGGAAGAATCACTGTGAGGCATAATCCTCTCAGCTCAGAAACTCATTTTCCCTTGGTAATATCCTCTGATGACACGAGCACTTTGCAGACTAACGTGCAGTCAGAGAATGTACCCTTTTAGTGATCTGTCCTGAATGAGAGAAGCCGGATCGTGTTGACTGATGTGGGAATTACTCCACCCTTTCAATAAGGAAAGGACTATCATAATTAGGAAATTTTTAAACATTCATGAAATACCAACACAAGACATTCTCTCCTCATTCCTTGAACCTCTCTCTTGTCTGATGTTCCATATTGAATTGAACAAGGAAATGCTGAAACAATCACACTCCCCACACGTCACAAATGGGACGTGTACCATAACAGAGTATTCCTGCATATGATACAGGACTCAGACACATTGAAATTTGTTGAACGTGTTTCTGGAGTATTAGCAAACAATTTAGAGTGATGTGAACAACTTGCTTTAAATTGTGACTTGATTTTTAAAGATACCTTGGGAGAGCTTCAACAAGAGCTTCACTAAGTGAACCCTTCATGCCTTATGAAACACAACGCAGTACTAAGCTGGGACCATGACCTGTGTGTTTAGCTCTTCAACAAAGCTCCATCCAGTTTTGAAATATTAAAACCTGCCATTTACAAAATGCTAGCCGAAGTTTTCTACTGCTCAGTTCGTTGCTTAAGGCTTGTTGAGAATATCCTCTCTATGTGGAGTCTTGGCATCTTGTACCAGAATGGAGACATTGGTTAGGACAGCAGAGAAACATACTGATGTTTTAAATCATGAGGTCCCCTGAAGAGAATTTGAGGTCACTGGAGAACAGTCAGTCACGACCAATACTTTTATAAGCTCCTTTTGCCAAAATAACCACTGTGTTATTTGTAAGGACACCTTGGTTTTAAATAACAAATTCAGGGTGATCTCCTCCTACAGTGCCCAGTTAGGAAGCACCCAGGGTGCCACCCTCACTCACACAGCTCTCATGAAAGCACATGTTATGCTCATGAATGGCAAATGCTTCGATACTTCTTGCCTGTTGCAATGACAGATGAAGTGCATCATGAAATGCTCCAGTCAGATCACTGCCCTGGTTATGGTGCCTCACCCATAACTCTGCTTTATACTAAACAGAGACTGCAGAGCCCCTGAACCCACACAACAGTTTTGTGACACCTGCTACAGCTTCAATAGAGAATTCACAAAACTTGTGACTGATACTGATCTGACACAGAAATTAAGAGACTGACGTCTCAAGCCATTGTTTCACCTACCATCACTGAAATATGTATAAGTGAATTCAACAAGCATTTCTACCAACATGATCAGACCCAGCAAATAAGCTGTGTTTGCCTTAATACCACATTCTGAGGAAATGCAGAAGTTTTAAAATTCTTACAGACAATTTAATTAGTGAGCTGTTAAATAAAAGAAATGAGAAAAAGAGATTGCAGAGAGTTGGTTGGCATCCATGTCAGACGGGGTCAGGAGGAAAAATGGTAAAAAACATATATCAATTTCAGACTAGTCAAGTAGCATTCACTGGAGTAGATCTGGTGAGCTGGAGCATTTGTAGAAGTTTGGGACTTGAAGCACTGACTCAAGGCAAGACAGAGCATGTGTAGGTGAGGAGCAAGCTTCAGACAAACTTCTGACCCATGCACCTCAAGAATGAATTTTATCTCTGCTGCTCTTCCAGTCCTGTACCAAGACAAACTGCATGGTGGTTTGTGATGCAGTCTGAATTCAGTGAAAAAAATTCCATCTGGGATCTGAATTGCACTGAGATGCAGATTTCCAGAGATGGTTTAAAACACCAAGTTGACAAACTCCACAGTCCTACAGGTTTACTTGGTTTCCCCATTATCCTCATTTCTTTATTCCAATGTGACTTTGAAATGAGGGGAAGAAGTCTTCGGAAACATGTTGGGCACACGTTTTCAAATACTCCTGATAAGAATGTCAATATTTTTTCTGTCATTCAGACACTGCATTTAAAAAAAAAATTTACAATATACTTTAACAGTTCTTATATACCTAAAATACACAATACCATATGTTCCTTTAAGGTCTCTCTTATTCCAAGTCTTGTTAACCTTCAATCTAGTTGCTTGCTGCCTTCTGATTTCTGGTCCAGCCTGCTCTTGTTGTTCTTCACCATGTAGATGAAATATGCAAGTGTCTCCTTCTCATTCACCGGAATATTCCTGAAGTGACGACTGACAGTCTGGAAGGACAACATGTAAAGAGACAGAAATGCTGAAATTAAACAGTAGAAATAACCAGAATGGGGTTTCTCTTCACTTTCCAAAACCAATTTTACGGCCACTGAGCACAATATACTTTTAGTCAAACACGCACCGATTCCAACTGTCAGTCCTCATTTACCTCCCTCTCTCTTTACAGCTGGAATGTGTGTATGAACATAGCGTAGTCTTGCTGTGTCAGCAGGATTTGCAGCCAACCTAAAAGCGGAATTTGGAAGCCAGAATGTCCTCCTGCCAAAGCAGCACAGCTCCTCCAGAGCGACAGTTCATGCCGAGATTATTTGGCGAGCAAGTTTTCTCTGCACCTCCGTGTTTTAAAGGAGAGCGTAGGAAACACTGCAACACTTTGCTGTGTGAACCAGATGTAGCAAAGTTTTATCCAGAGAGCTCTCCTTTGGACTCTTAAGTTTCCACTGAAAGGAACAGCAGTGAATTTGCACTGGCAGGGTTAGGATTTGGTGAGGGCTACCCCTCTCTGACACTGTCATAAGCCCTGAACCATTAGCTGCTTTTTCCTCAGAAAATGAACGTAGAAAACATGTTGAAGCTGGATGTAATCTGCTTCTCACATGGAAGAAGCTATTTTTTGGTACCAAACACAGCTCCAGAACTGAATTTTGATGCAGGCTGAGCAATAAGTCACTCCAAGAAGATTTATGGAAGTCTGAGTTTTCCTTACGGTGGGATAGCAGCAGGAGTCTAAGAGCCTCAGGCAGCAGTGATTCAAGCATAGGAGCTGGATGAGGATCCAGCATAGGGTCAAAGCTGTTCAGACTCCACAGGAAATCTGGGAAGTGTGTGACAACTTTAAGTTAGGCTGCCTTTATTTTCCTCTTGCATAGTAGTTGATCTTTGCTTTCCTCTTGGGAATATTCATGGTAAATTCCCTAAGCAGGTAGTCCTTCATGGCAGGAGGCAGCTGACAGACTATAAACTGCTTAGTTGAACATGACAAATCAGAACTACTAATGAGGGATACCCTCACCATGCTTTCTTCAACTTAATCCTACAGGCACTACACTACAATTTCTCTATATTCTGTATATTCGCTCCCTAGGTGACTTTGAAAGAGAGAAAGACAGTGTCTTGCTGACTTTTTTGGTCTGCTGGTTTTTGTTCTTTAAAGCAAGAGTAAAAGCGAAGTGGACAGTTTTAGGTAGACAGCTGTGAAAACCACAACTTACAAAATCAACCTCGCTACCATTCAGTAACTGCTACAGCTTTTTCAAGTTTAGAGAAGACTTTTCTCACAGCACGTCATCAGATCAAGTCAGGATAGAGCAGAGCAGATGCACACCAAGCACAACTCACCCAAATAACACAGAGCTACAGAGAGTTCTTTCTGTACAAGTACCCATATGGTGAGAAAGCAGCAGCAGAGGCCCTTAAGGAAAAAGTCTTTTATTGACTTAATACAGAAAAATCAGGACGAGGGAGGGAAATAAGGAACCTGAAGTCACGGTCAATGATTCTGCCTTTAATAATAAGCAATTCCAACCAGTTCAAGTGCCTCTGAGGAAAGAAAAACTAACAGGGGCACTTAGGGAGACCAGTAGTGTGTAAGTCTGAGTTTCAGTCAAACAGCCATCTCCAGATCACACCCAGGCCACAGAAAACAGGTTCTGTTTCTGCTCCCTAAAGGTCACTGATTATGACTATAAACAAGGCAGGAAAGGAAGCAGAAACAAGCCAAGTTACTAAAACATGCTTTCAAGAGCCAGCTTCCATGCCTTCCGTGCCTGTCCCAGGTGAAAGCAACTTTCTGTTGGCATCATCCCCTGAAACCCTTTGCAGAGCACTCAGTACATACCAGTGAGTTGCACAGGTATGAGTGTCCACAAAACATGCACTTGAAAAGAGGAGATAAGAAATTTTTTAATAACAGAGATAACGCTACCTCTGTCATCACTTACTTCTGCAAGCTGAGCCTTGTTGAGTCCAGGCCTAGTCTGCAACTTATAATGCCTCTTGTAACGTCTCAAGGTGTTCACTTGGAGCTGGAACAAGTCAACCTGCAAGTGATGCAGAGAAAAGGGGATGAGCACTACCTTTAGTTTCTATGAGTAGTTATTTTATCTAAAAATAACTACTTCCTCAACAGGACTGCTCTTTGCCTGCATTCAGAACCACACTGGTTTGCTTTACTGACAAACCTCAGTATATTTTGTATTTGTTAATGCTAAAGGACCAAAATAGCCTCAGGGAAATAGAAAATTTTGTTCTGGTTCACATGCTGTCAACAGAATTGCTGGCCAATTTCTGCTCTCAATTACACCTCTGCAACCTCCAAGCAAAGGGGAACCTTTTGTTCCCACAAGGTTTAAAAAGCTCACACATGAAATATCAATTTAGCAGGCACTGAACAAATGGCTTGTGACATAAAACAGAGCACAGAGATGAAATGAAATTCAAATACTTAAATGGGAAGTGCACAGTTTAAAACCAAAGGGGGTGGTAGGGAGGTTAGAGGAAGAAAGATGAGGATCATGTGGAAAATGCCAAGTTTCAAAGACAAAAGGAATCTGTGCTGAAAAGCAAGAGGAAAATTACATTAAAACTGACATGGTGCAGAGTTCCCTGTTGGAACTCTGCTGGGTGATGTGCATCCCTCAGGTTTCAGCCACCAAATACCCTCTGTGCTCTACAGCACCATTTTTAGACGCCTGCTGGGTCTTCATCAATCACCCTGGCAACTGCTGTAAAGCCTGAATAGGAAAGTTTTGATGGAGAACCTTGAATGGAAACATCAACAGCGATAACAGAAGGTCAGGTGTCCTTAAAAAAACCACCACACCAAAAACTTGCTACTCTTTCAACACCTCCACAAAGGAAACGTGTGGGTACAGCTTTGCACCAAGGCACAGCTTTGCTGGCAAAATGACTCCTGGTGGCTTCCCCCTCTCAGAAATAAAAGGCTCTTTGCCAATAGGGTTGGCATTTCCAGCAGAGGGCTCTGCTGACGTGGCCACAGCTCCGCTTCTCCCGATTATCACCTCTGCGCAACTTTTTGCCGTGTCTACAGTACCCGAAACATCACTGAGGCAAATGCAGCACACAATGGCACAGAGAAGGGATTGTTCTAGAGTTCTGTATCACAGAAAATCTCCCCCAGGCCTATTTCCTGAAAGTAAAAAGGTGTTACAAACTATTTAGAGGTAGTTTTAAATAGTCCCAAAAAACACCATATGTGCAAAGGTCTGGAGAAGGTCAATAAGCCTGGATGTCAAATACTCAATCAAAGAGAGTGACCTATTGAATTCTCTAGTGTATTTGGAGAATGATTTATCCTAAGTAACAAAGAATCATATTGGAGCCTCAGACACCACCAAAAATAACTTATTTTTACCTTTAAAAAAGAATTAGGACCAAATACAGCTTTAACGGTACATACATGAAGCTGTAGTTACCTTATCACACCTCTTTTTATAGAAAACTTTACATGGGCAAAGAACTCATACAGGAATGAAGAAGAAAATTAGGACACTACACATGAGAAAAGAGTCCTCCTGGAAAGTCAGAGTAACTCTACAGCAGCTTCAGTGGAGTTGCAATTTAAAATGTAAATATTTTCTGATACATGAAACCATCCAAGTGAAACTTCAGCATGCTCAGAATTGGTAAAGCAGCCCACAAACCTCTGGAACATCCGTGTCATGCTCAGGAGAGTCACCTCCATCATCGCTCGTCTTCCTCTTCCTTTTGTTTCGCACACTTTGAATGAAGTTCTTGTGAAAATCACAAATATACAGATGTCTCACCTAAGAACAGAAGGGGTGAAAGAGCAATCAAAACAGGTCCTGTGAAACAGCATCCAACAGCAGCCATTTAGACACCAGTATCAGAGTCCATCCCCATGACTGGTGTGACCGACTGCCTTAAGGAATTTCTAATCTTAAACCCCAGGCCTGATATCAAGCTCTTGAGTTACAAATAATTTACATTACAAAGGCTAAAGGGAAAGAAAATTAAGGACTCGAGCTCCACCTGAACCTGAACCTCTGCAGATAATACATTTCTTTTTTATGGGTGCAATCGTATGTCAGAAAAAAATAGGTCCTTGTCTGGAGGAAGTGCATTTGCTTCAGGACTTACTGTCAGCTAACTACTAAGAAAAATATTAATCTGTTCTACTCTTGTGAACTTTCTGGCTTGAATAGTACAGAAGATTAGTAATGCAAGTTTTTCAACACCTTGACCAAATAAAAGTTGGCTAATTACCTCAAATAAAACAAAAAACACAAAAGCAGAACTGTCTTTCCTACTGCTTGTTCAGCCATGGAACACCCCTTTTAACAAATATTATCTCATTAGATTTAGCAAAAGAAGGGACCTCAAGTGATCAAAATCATCTGGTATCTGTAAGGTTAAAATATCTTCAGATGACACAGGCAACCTACATTCGAAATCGCTCCATGCAGCCTCGCTTCACACTTTCCCTTTGTTCTGAGTTCATTAGTCTGATCTCCCTTTTTTGTTTCTAAAGCCTTACATCTGTCAACAAAGACTCATTTCCGAAATGCAAGAAATTACTATGCCACTAGGCCAATCTGCTGAGGACTACAGCGAGGAGAAATACTCCATTTTTTAAGAATATGTTTCAAATTGAGTCACTCTCTTTCCGTGACACGATGCGATTCAGCTGTGCAGAAGGGACCCAATAAACCGGGGGAGCTGCCAAACAGACTGACTCAAAACTTCAGCTTTTTTTTTTTTTCCTTTGTTTTCAGCGGTTTTAATCTTTAAAGATCTGGTAAGAAAAGCGTGCAGAGCTGGATTCCGTTAAGCGAGTCACTTCTGAGAAATTCCTTCGGGCTGCTCTGCTCTACCTATTTCTCTGCTGGGTGAACGACCCGCTTCTCTCTAGAGCTGACAGCTGCCACTTGATGTCATTAAGCACCAAACTGGGCTGCTTGGTGTGCGAACAAGCCCTGCTGAGGCGGCATCGCATCTCGCCGCCAGCTCATCTTTTAACCTGCTTCGCTACAGCACCAATTCCTACCAATTAAAGCAGCAGCGTCAGCGACGCCTCGCTGAAGCACCGAGTGCTGTTTTCACCTGACAAGCGCCAGCATTTCCAACCCGAAACCGCAATGGAAACAGCGTCCCTGCCTCCGGAGCACGGGCAGCTCGCTCAGCATCGCCCGCCTCCCAAACACGGTGTTTTGTGTTTCACGCATCACGAGACTCGCCGTGCCACGGGGAAAAGCCGCGTCTGCAGCGGGGGAAAAGCCGGTTCCGCATCCAGGCACGTCCTTCCCTTCCCTTTCCCGAGCGCTGGATGGGGAAAACGCGGTCCCGAGGAGCCGTGTTGGCCGCTCGCAGCCCCGCACCTCGCCCCCCTCTCCCCGAGGGGCAGCACCGAACCCCCCCGGACAGCCCGAGCCCAACTCGCCGGGCGGATCCGCCGCTCCCCGGAGGCTCCGCAGTGCGGTGGCGGCAGGGGCCGGCCCGGCCGCCCCTCCGGGGGGCTCGGGGGCCCCGGCGAGAGGCCGCACTCACTCACACTTTTGTCGATGTCCAGCTTCAGCTTCTTCTGCGAGATGCTCTTCTGGATCCTCTTGCTGAAGGACGCGTTGCCGGCGGGGCGCACGCAGCGGTCCCCGTCGTCAATGAGGCAGCAGCTCTGGCCGTAAAAGGGGGCGGCGGGCGGCCCATCCCGGCTGTCCTCCTCGGTGCTGAACCCATTCATCGCCCACCTGCCCGCCCCTCACCCCGCGCGGGGAGCCGACAACCCGGGAGAGGGGGGGTACGAGCCGCGCCGTCACCGCCGCGCCCTCGGGGGGACCCCGCCGCCCCCGCGGGGGCCCCCCAGCCGCGGCAGGGGAGGGGACCCCCCTGGGCCGCCGGCGCTCAGCGCTGCCCGCCGGGCCGGGCCCCCCAAGCGCCGCCGCCCGCGGGGAGCCGGGACCGCGCAGCGCCCGCACACACAAAACCGCCTCCCCGGCCGCGGAAGTCCCACCCCCCGGCTCGCAAGCGCCGCTCCCATTGGGCGGGGCGCACAGAGGGGCGGGGCGCCCCGCGCCGCTCCGCGCGCCCATTGGGCGGAGGAGCTGCCCGTCAGCCGCCACCGCCCCGCCCCCCGCGGCCGGAAGGTCGCCGTGAGGGGCGCGGAGGGAGCGGTGGGTCCGGGTCCGGCCCCCCGGCCCTGAGGGGACCCGGTGGCTCCTGCCGGGCCGGACTGGGCCCTGCGAGACGAGAAGGGAAGCGTCCCGGCCCCGCCAGCATTCGGGCGTCCCCTGCTCCGCACAACCGCACGGGACCCCCACGCCCAGCCACGGGACCGCGGGTTCCTCCAGCCGGCCGGGGCTGAGCCGGCACCGCTCCTGGAACAGCCGAACCTGTGACAGACCTGAACCTGCGGCCCTGGGACACAACTCAGGTCGGCACGGCCGCAAATGCCTGTTTGCGGATACAGCGTCATGTAGGCAAGAGTTCCTGGCTGAAATATAATTTTTTTATATTATAAGATTATATTATAAGAAATGTATGATTTTCCTTCCTCCCCCCCCCCCCACTACAAGGCAGGGATAGTGAGAAGATGGGACCTAGAAAAGAGTTTCCCAAAGCAATGTGACTTTAAGCTTCACATTTCTTTCATCTGCAGGAAAAAAAAAAACAAACAAAAACTCCCACAAACCCAAAAAAGTAAAAAAGGGGGAAGAAAGGGGGGGGGGGAAGGAATGAAATTCCTACTGATCTGTGAAGAAAAGATGTACCTTCTGGAAACGCCACAATCTCTGTAATACCAGACAGCAAATCCCATTGTCAGAGGTGCGTGAGGAGCTCTAAAGGGAAAAGGATTTCATCCTCCTCAAGAAAAGACTTTCTGCACAAGCAGAAGAAAGGTCCTATAGGCTAAAATTACTTCAGAGTCTGAAATCCTGCACGTGGAACAATGTGCGTGAGCACCGGGTGAACTGTGCTGAATCACACACACGAAATACCTTTGCAAGAAAGACTCCTTAAAGCCCTCGGTCATCAGCTCAGGCTGCCCCACAGTGACACTGACAGGCACCTTGCAGCCTGTTCTGCCTGCTCTGCACAAGACAATTGAGAAAAGCCAAAATCTGTATTTTCTAGCATTCCTTACACTGCCAAACATGTCTCAGAATAAATGTGGAGGGGAGGGACTTAATACTCCTCAACAGTTCTGCCTCTTGTCTTTGCTTTTACTGCTGGTGCCCTCAGGCAACTGGTAATTGCTGTTTGTCCATGTGACTGGTAGGGAACCACAGTGCACTCTCCTGGGGACAGGCTCCCAGGAGCTGGCTGTTCTCATGGGAAGCTGATGAAAACAAATGAATTTACCCACAGACCAACAAGCAGTTAGTGAAGAACAAAGAGATTTAAATAAGCAAAATGCCACTGCTTATAAAAGCCCCAGGCCAAACTGCCTGAATTAATACCCTCCTGGCAAAACCAGATAGATATTCCCTTGTTTTGGGGAAAGAGTAAACACAAAAGGCTGAGAGTGATCTTGGATCTCCTTATACAAAGCTTTCCAGGTTTATCTTAACATTACCAATAAAGATCAAGTGGCAGGCTGAGGAAATCTCACAGAAGGACTATCTTGACACTCAGCTGTAAACACAGACTGTAGGGACAAGTGATAATAGGAGCAAATGAGATAAAAGGGAACATGACCATAACAGGTAGGACTTCCTCCTATCCCCATGGGGACGAGATTCTGCAGGTGGTCCCTGGACTATTCTATGGCAATCAGGAATGGCTGGAGAAAGAGGCACCATAAGTGCTAAAACAGGTTGGTGCTGACCGTCAGATTGTATTTCATCTTGGGCTGCAACCTCTCATCCCTGCAAATGAAAAGATTTTAAGTCGTTTTGCAATGCTCAGTAGAAGGAAAAACCCTGTTTTTGTCTCTTTGCTAATTCAATGTTAATTACCTCCCTTCTCAGGCTAACACAATGATACCTTTTAACAGTCTTTCAAAATAAAAAAAAAGTGCATGGAGGTGTTTTTATAATTGCAGTTTATTTCAGCGTATTTATCCTCATGGGAACCTGCAGATTTCACAGTCTGCTAGTCCGGAACAAGCTTGCTGTGAAATAAACTGCCTCATAGAGACATTCTTTATTGGGTATCTATCACTAACCTGATCCAATAATTCTTTGTGGGAGCTGCAATGAAGTGAGAAACAATGTTTCATAAACCCATCAGCACCCAGGCAGCTTTAGTGCCTCTGAAGCGGTAATGGCCTGCCCATCCCAGTCACCCTCTAATCAAATTAGAGGAACCTGCACTAGCCTGTAAATCTCACCTGGAGCAGCACTACCCTCTAAAGATAAGTCCGTGGTGTAGCTGTCATGTGGAACTTACTGTTTTAATGGAGCCATTCGGGGGGCTTGGGACAGAAATGCTTCTCTCCAAACGGTCTGTGCTGCTGGAGGTGTCCTGGGAAGCTGCCTTTTTAAAAATTTTTTTGTACTCCCAGTCAGAAATCAGACCATTTCCTTTCTCGGCACCTTGAGGGCCAATGGAAGCACTGCCCTGGCGCCTTTCCCCGGACTCCCACTCTCCTCAGCACTTTTCTAGGGTGGCACATATCGAACCTGCTAAAATGCTTAAACTGTCACAGCTTTTGGCACATACTCACCCTGGGCAACGTTCCCATGGCCAAGAATCACAGCACAGCCTTCCCTGGGGAAACAGTTAACCTTGCAGTTATCTGCTGGTCCCCCCAGAAAGAGCCTTTCCTTTCCCTCACACAGGCTCATTTTCCCCACACGCAGATCTTCACACCTTTCATTGCTTGTCTCCCATCCGTTTTTTTCACTGTTTTTCATCCAAAGGAGTTAAGTAAAAAGGAGTGCTGAGAAGGCTGCTGAAGAAATGAAGTGGTGACAGGAGAAAGCACTGAGGGTCCTAGTGGGAACATGAGCAATGCTGAGAAACTTCCCTTGTCTTGGGCCAAGCCCGCTCTCCCCAAATGGAGATCAGAACACAAACAGGGCCCCGAGCTGTTAAAGCCCTGCAAACTGAGGTGTGGGATGGATCTCCCAGCAGTCGCTCCCAAGGCAGACAGGCACAGAAAGGACAATGACAGCTGGGTTTTCTCCCCTCCTCTGTGCTTCCCAGTGTGCCCTACCAAGGACTGTCCATGGCAACTATTCCTCAGGGGTGTTCTACCTGGGCATAAATCATCCACCAGAGCCATGGTCCATCCAGGACAGTACCCCTGGGCACCTACTTGCATGAACACGTCTCCTCCACGTCTCCTCTAGCTTTGTCCACATCTTACATTTCTCCTCATGTCTCCTCCCCTCGTGGCTGCCACTCACTCTTCCTTCAGCTCTGAGCTGAGGTGCTGCAGGATCCCCTGCTGGGCTGTAGTTCTGGGACATGATGGATTGTTCCCATCAGTTTCAGAGCTGCTGGGAAGCAGCTGTGAGAGGCAGACAGAGCTGCCCCTGGCTGCCTGAGCCTCCTTGTACACCCAACACAGCACTTGGGCACGAGCTCCTTGGCTGTTCGTGCGTACACACAGCAAATCCTGTGCTCTATTCCCAATGCAAAGGGCAGCCAGGAAGGACGTTTCCCAAGGGGGCTGGAGGACACCAGTGTGTGGCACGGCAGGAAGCCTGTGCTGGGGAAACACCTGACCAGGGATAACCAAGCTTACAAATAGAGAGAAGAGAAACACATCACTGGAGCAAAACAGGCAGGGACAGTCACATCTGCGCACACAGTTTTCAGAAAACACATTAAAAATTTATTTTAAATATATTATAAAAGGAAGTCCATTCAACTTTAAAAACACTAGGCATTCTATCAATGATTCCCAATTTATGAAAGCTACTACATTAAAGTGCTACAAGTCCTTTACCACCCCCAGATATTAGGCTGTTGGTCCTAATATGCACAAAATAAATACACACTGATTCAAGAGGCACCATCCAGTTTTACAGAGAAAATGCATGCAGTACAAGGAACAGACAAACTTAGACCTAATCACCGAGATCCTGGAGAATGCATTTTGAAACCAATTCCCTTCTCCACCCTAGAGGCTAAAGCTATTTGTTGTTGTTATCATAAGGGCTAAGGTTTCAGGCTATTAGCTTGACCAGTTTTTATCTTGTTTTGTGGTTGAAGTTCACATTTCCTTGCTCACTAATTGGGATTAGGACTTTTTGCAACTAGAGTTGAAGTAGTATAGTTAAGACCACGTAGATCCAGTGGCTTTATATAAAACTCCCAAATCCCTCACATCTGCTGGAATCATTGAAGTCTTTTGAATATACAGAAGCAACAAGAAAGCTCAAAATGCAGAAAGTAAAGGAGTGTACTCAGCTAGCAGAGGCAGAGTCAAAAACAGTCATAGGCTTTTTATTAGGTTTTCCATAATCTATCATTGCCTAGTTCCATACAGACCTCCGAGCTAAAGCGTGGCACTACTAAGGAGCAATCAGAGCAGGAGTTGAGTTTATTTCAGTTACGCTTTAAATTTATAATGTCAATAAATCAATCTGAAGGGTTAATGAGGAATATGAAATGAATTGACAAGTCTGTGTTGAATGCTGATGGAAATTTCAGGTCTCATTTCCCATTCTCCACCCATCACATCTCTCCTCTCCACTTGAACCAGGTGAGGACTTGCAGCTTGATTTAAAATCTGGACTTAACACTCATTAGGTCAGAAAATAAAGCACTTAAAGGTAAATCCCACACAAGCTGGGAAATTGCAGCACACAGAATTTCCTTGCTTAAGATCAAGTAACAGGCCACAGTAGCCTGGGAGCAGGATCCAGTGCTCCTGGCTCTCAAGCTAGCTCCCTTTTGCTGTGTATCCTGTGAAACCACACAGTTTATCCATGAACCACAGGAGTTGGGAGTGGATGTGGGATGCAAGGTACACGTGCAGTGCTTGTGTTGGCAGAGCCAGGCTGTTTCAGACATGGCTTTACCAGGGTTGTTTTGACTGGAAGCATGACAGGCTGACTGCCTGAAAACCATTCAAGTGCCTGTCCATATCTTTGAAAGACAATTTAAAATATAATCTTCTCCCTTTTCAAGCAGCAGTTCCACGATTGCCCAATATGGCTTTTAGGAGATCTCTCCCCAGGGTGATGTGAGCCAGCAGAGCTGCTGTGACAGCCCTGCAGCAGCCCCAGAGCACTGTGCTCTTGCAATGCTGGTGGTGCCTGTTTCACTCTCAGTATACTGATCTCAGTGCAGCAGGGAGGAGGAAAGTTTGCTGACTGGAACTCTCCAGTAAAGGAAAGCAAAGCCCTGTGCACAGGCTGCTGTAAAACCAACCAGGAAGAAAGTCAGGATGAGAAATTGCTTTCTTGCTACTTCTGTATTAGAGCTGTTAACACACCCTTTAAAAAGTTTCCCACTGATGGAAGGCATCGACTTTTTCTGAAAGACACTTCTGGCTGCAGGTTTTATAAGCTTTTGGGACTATCTGTGATTTGCATACTTAGAAAATAAAATGCAGGATCCTGCACGCCAGTGAAATCATGAGCCTTCACCATGAGGTGAAACATCCAACAGGTAACCCAAGACATCCTCCAGCCTAGCTCCAGTTGCTACAGTGTGCCAAGAGGAAGCAGCCATCCTTTCCAAGTCTTCCTATTAGGAGTGACAACACCCCCTCGAGTCATTAATGATACTGATTTAACAGAGGAAACACAGGAGCTTCTGAATTACTGTCGTTCACACAAATTTTGCACTGAAAGTCAGACATTTTAAAAAAACACACACAAACACTGCACAAGTCAAGCTTTCTCTTACATCCTTATCTCCCAACTCCTTCCCCTCTCCTCTCTTGTCCAGCAAGGCACTAGGAAATGGTTCAAGTTTAAGCATTTGCTGTACATTTACATTTAAAAAGGCACATCTTTATTTTAATGACGCTGTATTCCCCTTTCGGGAAGGCTCCCACATTCTTCTCTTGTGGTGTGGAAAAGGAAGTTAATTTCCCAGGTATGAGAAAAGACACCTTGCACACATGAGAGCCCCAAACCTATTTACTGTCTGTAAGCCTTAGAGATTAGCACCAGTAGAGATCAACAACAGCTTCAAGAGCAAATCAAAGTATTTTTATGCAACACAACACACACCCAGGGATCCCTCTGTTGTCTCGGATTCTGATACTTAAAAGCAGCAGAACTTATGCAGACATAAAAAGAGGGGTGTTTCAATACTTTTTTTGGGAAAAAATATGAAAACATTTATTTTGCATTAGATAATCACCGGTAGTTAATCTCCAGTCTCGACTCACATGCGGATGTGAAGATTTGCTTATGTATTCATGCTGTAGCAATTTTGCTTACAAATAACCAAAATTAATTGGAATAATTAACCAGATTGCCCAGCAAAGGCTCAGTTAAAGATGCAGATGATGAAATACAGCTTCTATTTCTCAATCAGTGGATGGTTGGCTATATTAAGTCTTTGCATTAGTCAGCAAAGCCTCTAGGGTATTGAAAAGTATAATTGATGCAAATAAATTAATAGTTCAAAGCCCAGCGAGCTAGTCAGAAATGTACAGAATTTGTGAGGCACTTATCACACTCAGATACCAAACCTTCAGCAAACAGATAAACCACACTTAGAAGGAGCTGGTAAAACCACTCACACTAAAGCTCCAGTTTCTGTGTACTGGTGGTAGGTTGTCAAACTGGAATTGCCTCGACTACTACCTAATGTTTTGGTGCAAATTACTAAGAGCTGACCTTTATCTCCAAATTAAGATCTCCAAGTGGTAAAAGACCTGTTCATTACTGCAGTTCTCTCTGAAGCATCCTGTGAGCCAAGCAGGGCTCTCTTCACAAGGTGAGCCCAAGTACAAAGCAAGCCATGCATTTTAGAAACAGAAGCTATTCCTCTCATTAGAAAACTAAGACACACAAAGTTGCAACCTGCAAGCAGAACAACCTACAGTCCATTTATAGAATCTGCTGATTGTGTCTCAATTATAAAAAACTATCACTGTTCATGGACAAGCAGCTTCTTGTTCCACAGGTATTAAAACATTCATAAAGACATCTAGTCAGGCCATCTAGTGCTCCACAGTCAGCACTACTAGACTAATGAGAGCATTAATAACTTAAGGAAAAGCAGCAGCCAGACACAAAGCGCTGGAAGGTGACTCTGTCTCCCACAGAAATGAAAGGGGATCCTAATGACAGACATACTGTAGTAACTGAGAACATAAGATGTCAACTCTGCTTGATGCTGCTCTCACTTCCATACAATACTGCTACAGAACTGTCACAAGGAAAACCTAGAGCTTTTTTTGTTTTCTTCACTCTCAAAACATTAGACAACAACACATTTTGGCAGCCTGGTCCCAGCTGCAATGCAGCACCCAATGTTTCCCATGCTCCATGACTGCATGGACCAGGTAAGATGGCAAAAAAGGCTAGACATGGCCTCAGCTGTGAGGATGTGAGAGGGGGAGATGATTTTGATCCATTGTCAGCACATCACAACAGAGAGTTCAAGGGGCAGACAGTTGTGCCCAAGTTTGCTCCCAGCTGCCAGACACAGCCCTACTCGTCCTCAAAGACATCTGAAACATGGGCAACGATCCTACAATTGGCAATATCAAGGGCTTCTTGCTTCTTGAGCTCTACAGAGGGAGCCACCCTGCTTGCTTTGGGACACCAGGCAAACATCTCCTTGCCTTCACATGAAAGACATCCCTGAGCAGAGCTTCCATGCCCCTCTGAGGAAGGGAAGTCCACTAACCGTGCTCATCAAGAGTGCCAGAGGGGTCCTATCCCCCTCACTCCCAGAGCTGGCTGTACACTACCTACTCTTGCAGCACTCCTGCATGGGCAATTGGACAAACCAAGGAGCTGGGCAATTCCTGGCAAAGGAATCAGTTTTACACAGCATCTGTGCAGAAGGTTAACTGCATCATCATTCACAGATTTTACCAGAAAATGCCACTGCTGCCTTCAGTACAAGACTAATTCAACTAATAAACTAGTAAATTTGTTTTTGCAACAACTTCATTTTAAACCATGGATTTTTTTAATACTTGGTTCAGATAGACTTGAACCAATGGTCCTCCACTCATCCTTTAGTATCAGTACATTCATCCTGGCTCACGGTCTGGCAGATCCCACAGCCAAAACAGAAGGATAACACCTTGCACTGCTCACTGACTGCACAAGGGAGAGGGTACCAGTAAAATGGGTCCATCAATCCCACATCTCTGCATAAGCAAACAGATCTCCAGTCACAGTAAACTGTACAGCGCCGTGGATGCTGGGACATGAGGAGAGATTAATAGCACATTCCCACAAGCCTAGAACACTACTGACCACAGGACTCAAGAAATTACAGACTGATGAACAAATGGATAAAGACCAATGGCTAATCTGAGCCCTGAACTGATTATCTTGGATTAATCTGCTCACACCAACTGTGAATGGAAGTTGCCTGCATGTAGTAGATTTAACTCTGAGAAACCCTGGAGGCGTCCGTGCTAAAAGGATTATGAATAAGAAGCAAATTTGGAACCTGATATCCAAAGGCTCTTAGCAAAAGTCTTCACCTGTAAGAACTGTGCTCACTTAAAAAACCCTCTGCTAATCTTTCACCTTGAAGATTCAACAGTGAGTGACAAACTGACTGCAAAGTGAATGGACCAGAAACACAGATTTCTCATTGCTAATAACTACAGCCATATTCCCAACACTTGGCTGCACTTCCACTAGAGCTCATTCCTTCATCAGAGCTATGATTTGGAAAATAATAATGCTCAACCTGTTTGAAATATATTTGATCCAGGGCAAAAAAATATGCATTTCATTTTCCACTGATGGGCTTTTTCTTTTTTTTTGATAGGAGGCTTAAATCCTGTCTCAGGATTTTACTTATATGGCGTTTGGAAGATAAAGCTGTGGGAACACTTCAGCGGGTGGTATAGCAGCTACAAAAAGTCCTGGAGGGTCCTGGATAATAAAATCATTTAACACAAGACCCAGGTGGGAAATAAAACAAAACAAAGGAAAAAAAAATCCATTTGAATCACATTCAGACTCCTCTAAAAACAGAGTTTCTGTTCAGTCTCAGCACAGAATTGGCTCTGGCAAAGCCTTTAAAATTCCACCATCCCCAGAAGAGAAGGATGCAGCATCTTCACAATAAAGACTGGCCTGCTCGTTAACCTTCTCCTGAGATTCTCCCTTTTACCTTCATTAAATGTTTAAAAAAAAGTATTCTTAAAAAAATTTTTTGTAACCCTCCCCAGTAAAAACTATAATTGTAAAATATATATATATATTTTCTCAGTCTTTTAAAGATCAAGATTTCTGTTAAATTTTTCCAAGATGGTTGAGTTTGTGTGTTCAAATATCCACTGCTGTGTTGGAGATGAAGGATTGCAGCTATTCATAAAGATTTTTCGATCACTCTCACTGCAGTCCATACAGCTGCTGCTGACTGGATGGTAGAGAGTCTTGTCCTGGAGAAGAGAAATTCGATGTGAGGTTGCCAAGCAGAAAAAAAAAAAAGTTGTTTTAAAACCAACAGAAAGAAGTCTTAAAAACCAAGGCAAGCTATTGTGTCATCCAGAGTTGCTCCACACTTACATGGTTGGCAAGTGTCTGAGTTCATTCCTAACCCTTGCAACAGAATCCAGCCCAATCCTCACACCTGCACTGGGAAGCTCTAAAGCTGTCCCTGAAGCCACAGGCTCTCCAGGCTGACATCCTGCTGCATCACTCCGGGGCGCTGTGCCAGCAGACTGCAAGGACTAGGACAGGGCACTGAGACAAGAATTTACTTACCTGTTGCCCACAATAGCTTAGTTGCTTTAGTAGGAGGATGAATAAATCCTTATCTACTTTTGGCACGATTTTCCAGAACAAACCAACTCTCAGAACACCTCTTTGCAAACGGGTTTTGCAAAGGTGTTGCATCACCTCAGTGCCAGCTGTGGACACACTGCAGAGAGTGTCCCTTCTGCTCAGGAGCCCTGGAGTCCTCACCTTCCTAACCAGTGGAATGGGGGAGTGACCTCTTTCTAATCAAGGGTAATTAATGGCACAGTGACAACAGATTGTCTGCAGATTCTCTTATCGCAGCTACGTGAAGGAATAAAACATGAGTGGTGACATTTTAAGAAATTTAAGTGCCTACAGGCAATTTGACACCTTAGAAGGGAATACGCATACGCCCACACACACAGACTCACTTTTCGGTATCTCCAGAGCTGGTTCCCCTTCATTCCATGACAGTCATAGAGGGTCACAGGGCTGCTGTGGGAAATGGCATCGAAACAAAACTTCTTGGTGTGCTGAGGATCCCCGGGACGGATGTCCTCTCTCCAGCTGAAGGTGAACACCTGCCAGGACAAACAGGACCCTCAGGGTGGCTGGTACTTGGGCATGATGTTTTCACCAGCAGGAGGCTGTTCTCTGTCCCCACAGGGTGGGGGTGACTTCAGGGAAAGGACAGTATCTTCTACAGAAAAACTACTCCCACCTCTGGGGACAAGCATTGCCGACCAGGGGAGTCTGTACCAGTTGCCACAGCATGTGAAAGGAGCCCGTGCTGCTGCAGCCAGCCATGCTGGTCAGCCTGGGTGTCTCTGCAATGCAGACATACATCAAGGATTAAATGAGCAGCTGACCAATTACAGCCTTTCACAGCCAGCAAAAAAGGCAGAGAGCTACAGGAGCTCTGAGTTCACGCTGGCAGTAAACACCCAAGTCTGCACAGCCAGCCTGCAGTCACCTTGAGAAGTCTGTCCCACAACTTCTGGGACAAGAGACCAGGAGCCCACAGCTTCCCACCCCACAGGAGTGTCAGAAGGGCAAACACATGGGCAATGCTTCCTGGAGCTTTCCTCTACTGACCCTGCAATGAACTCTCAGTGCTCTCAGGTGAAATGAAGGGATGGACAGTACAGATAAGCAGAGAAAGGGGTTTAGCTCTAGAAACAGGGCACAACCTATGCCTGGCAACGCTGTGGCCTTGATAAAAGTGTCCTCTGTGACCAGCACTAGCCAGTGTGCTTCTGCAGGGCTACAGCCAGCACTCCTCCATCTCAGCCCCTAAGGAGAAGGGCTGTTCTGTGGGCTCCTTTGGAGGCAGGTGGAGGAATGGTTCTCTCTTCAGAGATATCTCATGGGGCAGTAAGAAAGACTAGTAATGATCAGGGTGCTGCTAGCAGAACCAGCGTGGCCAAAAACTTTTGCACACAGAAGCCACTTTGTTCCTGCCTCTCTTTTAATCCCCTCTTGAGAGACAAATTACCACAATCATTTAGGCTCAACACTCCACAGAAGTTCAAGCAACATTCTCTTCCTAAACAAAAGCCAACGTTAATTTTCAAGATCCTCCTGACACAGGGGCTCAGTTTTGGACTGTGCCTGAGTAAATTGGTTTTGCTTCTATTTTTCACGCATCAAAATTGATATGCAACAACCCTCTGTCTCCTACTACTGAAGCCGTTCCCTGAAGAGTTATGCATGGCTCTGTAATAGAGGCATTGTTTTCTTGATCTTTTCTCAGCTCATCTGCTACAGTTTAGACAAACTAATATTTTCCTCCCTTCTGTTACAATAAAGCTGTCGTTTCTGGCACCTTATATGTTGAGAGGGTGAATCTATAACCCGGCTGGTATCATCTCTCTCCAGCAATGGTTGCGTGTTTATAATGCATTTGCCTCCTGTCAGGAGGATGATAGTGAGCGCTTATTGAATGCTCCTGCAGGTTCATTAATATGCATGATGCTCCTCTATCACTTCTTTCAGCACAACCTTTGAAGTTAATATTCACTTTGTTACATATTACAGCTGCCTTGTTACTGGTTTATTGTTTTGGCATATTGTTTCCTTGTGATTTCTTTTGTTCGCTCTGAGAACTTCAAAGCAGAGGTAAAAGCTCTGCTCAGAGTCTGCCAGGCTCCAGACCCTGCCACAAGCACAAGCCACATCCTGCTACCAGCTCATCAAGTACAATTAGCATGTGAGCTTTGGGGTGCACCTGACAGCTCTGCAATGGCCTTCCTTAAACATTGGTTCTTGTAACTTGTCCATCCCCAAATTCAGGGGCCGATGATTTATCAGATGGATTGTTACCTGCACGTTGTTCCATGCTGCTTCTCCTCTGTCCTTCACGCAGTTTTCCAGCCTCAGTGGGGATCCCAGGGCTCCATGCTTAGTATCCACACACAGTCCAGTTCCTACATTGCGTATCTGAAACAGTAAATTAGTCACTAAATCTCCTACTCCTACCAGGTGACAGGAAAGACGGCTCAAATTGCCTCAAATAGCACCAATATTTGTACGGAGACAATTTTTAAGATTCCTCACTTAACTGTGTGTCTGAGCTGGCAGGTAACAGCTGAAAGAAAGCACAAAACTCAGAATGGGGCCCATTGCCAGCTGTACCACAACCTCCATCTCACAGCAAAACCCACAGGACTGCAGAGTCCACTGTAATGTTGTGATGGTGCATCCTCCTCACCTACACTGTTGTCTCAGAAATGCTCATTAGGCCTTGGCCTTGACAAACAGCACCAGGGCTCAGCTCCTCTTGACCTTATCAGAAGCACTGTCTGCCACAGTTGTGTGTAGCAATCCACGACTTCACTCCTGGGGTCATTTTTTAACCAGAACACAGCCAACTTTCAAAAACAGGGATGGGTTTTCTGGCTTTCAGATGGGAAAGCTAAGGAGCAAAGTAGCTCAACTAAGTTGTGAGGCCCTTTGGAAATACAGGGTTTCACTATTGCTCAGCTGCCTCCTCTCCCTAGTCCTCTCTTTGGCATGTTCTGATTCCTACTAAATACACAGCGTGCAGAACAAGCCAAGTCTCTGTTCTTGTTGTAGCTGCGCATTAATAGAAGCAGCTGCCTGCCCAACTGCCTGCTTTGATCAGGCCACTGCAATGGCAGAGGAGTTCTGGGCTTTGAAACATATCAGGCAGATCTTGAAATACTCGCTTGCACCTTCTCACAGCCACCCAGTACCGGAGCACACGGGCGACCTTACAAACCCAAACCGCAGCCTGTTTGCCCACTGCAGACATCAGAGCACAAACTTGCCTCTCCCCAGGCGGCTGCTGGAGGTTCCACTGGTGGGTAGAACTTTGGCAAGTCCCAGGCGACCTCGCTCATGAACCACTTGAAGCTTTTGCAGTTGAGGTTGTTGCGAAGCTCCTTCTGGGCCGCGACGTCCCCCGCGGAGAGGTGCCGGTACTCTGGTCTGCGCTGGTAAATGTACTCGGCGTACTCATCCATCCACACCTCAGCCACCCGCTTCAGGTTCTGTGTGGGCAGCAGCCACGGGTGAGAACGAGAAGGAAAACCACCTGAGAGCACTGCACAAACCACTGACATTAGCATTCAGAGCAGCTCGCATGTTTTCGCTCAGAAAGGATTTTCATTCACATCCACTCTTTCTCTCCAGCTTCAGGACAAAGATTATTTTTATTATTCTCTAGTTCCAAGGGACTTTTAGAAAGATATTTTCAGTTGAGGTCAAAAGAATCCTGGCACTTGGCCATTATATCTAGTTCCTTGTGGCTAAGAAAAACAACATTAATCAAAAGTTGTTTTTTTTCCTTTTTTTTCTGTAAAGAAACTAGTCAGAACATGATGCTGGTAAATACCACTGGACATTCAAAGGTCTCTGACAAAAAGCTGCTTTCTTAAATCCTCCTTATTGCATCTTTTATATCCATCTAGAAATGGGATTTGCAGTACTCCCTTCTGGAAAGCTTCAGTTCACAATACTCTTTCTTAGTACTATTTTTCCATTTTCTTGGGTAGAAGTCTGACATACCTCCGGAATATAGAACTTTCAGGTGATGACCCTTCAGGACAGAAGCAAAGGGTTTACCTCCTGGCAGGAGTACATTTCATGTATTACTGTAAAGCTTAATCCACTATGCAATTCCAAGACAGCAATAAACACCACCCTCTCAAGACAATCTGCTTGTCACAGCACCCTCGAGACTGCTGGATCTTGGACTGTTCTCTGGCAACATCAGGCACATTCTTGGTGCCAAGACTTGCCATGTGCAGTTGTGACTCTGGTGACCCAGCAGCACTGCCTACCTTGCATGAAGCTGGTCAGTCCTGCAGTGATCATTTTCTACCAAAAAAATTAGGATGCTAAGAGCGAGCAGTGTGCTGACCCTGCCCCGAATGCAGCCTCCAAACAAGAGCAGGTGTTTATCTCAAGGTGACTAAATGATCCTAGATGCCGAGAAACAGCCTTGGCTACACCTGTCTGCCATCTCCTTCAAGCACTGTGGGAGTTCATGAGCGCCAAATACTGAATCGAAAGAAATACAGCTCCTTCCTGAAGAGATGGCACAGACAGGAGAGCGCTCCATCGCTCTGACAGGTCATTGCTGGGCTGAGGAATAAATCCAAATCTATAACCAGGGCCGTGCTGTTAAACTGGGAAGCATTTTAACACTGTGCAAGCCATAAACTACAGAACAGCAGGGCACCTTTTTGTGGTTTTTAGTTTTGCAGCCTTCCTGCTTCTATGATTTTTTTTTTCTCCCACCAGAGGGCAATGTAGTCCCTTCTCAATTTAAAAATTAACTGGAGAAACCCAGTGCATGATAGGCGAAAGCTCTTTCCTCTTTGGGCTACACTAGATTGAGAAATAAGATGGCAGTGAACATTCCATTGTGGAAAATTACAGCTTGCCCATTCAGTGGTCTGTGATGCTTGAAGTTGAGAGGTCTTTCAATCACCAAAACGCAATCACCACGCTGAAGCCTGCTGCTCTTGGAGAGCACAGCTATAAAATGACTGAAGTATTATACAAATAAAGCCATATCTTGCTTTTATAGCCAGTCCCTGATCACAGAGTCCCTTCCCAGCACCCAGCAGTAGCCTTTGTCAGCTGTCAGCACACGTCTTGCAGCTCCCCAGGCTCTCTTCCCTTTGTGCTACACATCCACCACTGCAAAACTGCTCAACTTGCACTGTACAAGTGCAACTTACAGACCACAAAGCCTACATTTGCCTCTCCATTGAGAGCTCAGAGGAGACAACAGCATAGTCACGTTGCAGTCAGACATCTGTAGTGGGGAAAGCCACTACCACTTACTCTTGCCAGGCTAACTCCTGTGGGAACCTTGTATGGAACATATTTCCTGTAGATATGACCAACCCTAGAGCAAGGGATGTCCTCCATGCGACCTCCACACATCCATACCTGTGGAACAGCAGAGAAACAGATTCAATCTTGGTTTATGGAGAAAACTGAAAAAGAAAAAAAAAAGACTTCCAAGTACTGAAAAAGCTTAACCCAGATTTTTACATTAAAGTACACTCTTCCCAAATCCCCTCCCCTCCTTGCCTTAGTCTCAAATCCTATAACTACCCGCTTAGAGCCATGCAGCAAGCCTTGATTTAGCACAAGTGCTATCAAGCCTTCTTCACAGAAAAGAACAGGGGAAAAAAATCCGAGCACCCAGAGAACAGCACACACCTCACTTTAAACTGATATACGTTATTACAGCCACAGTAACCACAACAGTTAAACTGGGCTGCCATAAAAACCCTGGGTGTAGGTTGTGTAACGATGCTGTAAAAGGGAGGCCATCTCTGTGGTACAGGTGGTCATGTGTTATGCAAAAGGCTCCAGGGAATTCATGAGCCTGTTCAAGTGCCAGAAATCAGAAGAAACTGCTACTTTTTCCCGTGGTTATATCACTGCTCTTGTATGGTTTCATTGCTGACATTCACTCATTGCTTTTGCAGCCTTACAATTAACTGGAAATCCCTGCCTGGTAACACATAAATAGCTTTAAAAAAGCCCTCAGGAAGTCACTAGAGAACACTGTAGTTGGAGATGACTACCTTGATGCTTGGTTAATGTCTAGATTAGGCCCAGAAGCTTCCTTCCCCATCTGGGAAGATTTGACTCTGTGCCAGCACTCTGCAACAACATTCTTTTATTCCTTATTTATAGCACAGATGTAAAAATTTTGTCCGAGTGAAAGAAAAGATGTTTCCTGAACCAGCCAATCTCCTTCATTAGGTTTAGGAAATATATTCATATGTTTCACAAAAAGACTTAAAGAAAAAGTACCCTTCAGAAAGCCAAACAAATGACTTTTTGAATTCCTGAAGCACGGCACTGCCTTGCCCTGCAGTTTGTCCCCAGATCCGATGGCAGTGCCCCGAGGGCCGCAGTGTTTAGGCTGGTGCTGCAGTGATCTTGATCCCCCTGTTCACTGTGGCTAATTTGAGCCACAGCAGTTCACTGTACAACGAGCTTAGTCAACAGCTTCACACATTGCAGGCAATTCCATTAATATTCTACAGCGACAATATTAAATACTTAGCTCAGAAGAGAAATATTTGGCCAAGGCTGCTGCATAATTATTAGCTCTGACACTGAAGTCCTCTGGAGTTTTAGCTCTGTCTACTGGCCCTAATAATTACAGTCATTTGCTGACTGTGTATAACTTAATGGAGGTTGGTTGCTCTCAGTTAGAGGAATATTTTTCACAGGCAACTTCTAAAGTTCAGGGTATTTAATTACACGTCGTTACGGCGAGAGAGACAAGAAGAAAGTTGACAAACACTCCTGCTACGGGATTTCATTCCTTTTGTCCCTGCTGTGTCTTGAGAGGCTGGTACGGAAGAGATGAAAAAAGAAACTAGCACAGTTTCTGTGGAGTTTCTCATGGAATTAGAAATCTTTCTTTTTCTGCAGCTGCCGTGCTTTTGGCTGCAGAGGGCCACAGCGCGATTTCGCTGCTGGGAAGTTAACAGATAGGCTGAGAAACAGGAATTTGGACATGTTTTGCGTTTCTATGACAGAAATGGTTTGTGTGAGGCTGTAAGAGCTGCAACAGATCTGGGAACTATGAAGAGCTGCAGGAGTAGCAGAAGAAGCCCAGAGCTCGGTTGCATAGACACACACACAATCCTCAACAACTTGTATTACCCTTCCCTGCACCCTGCATCAGGCAAGCCTGACAAGGTTCACAGCAGCTGCATTTTAGTGTAACACAAGCCTGAGTGCAAACACCAGCCTGTTATCCTTGCTGCCTGACCAGAGGATGCCTCACCTGCTCCACCTCCAAGTCAGGCCACTGTGAATACACCTCTCCTCTGAAACACGATGTCCCTACCTAAGGTGAGCAGCAGAGCCCTGCAGTCAACACAGCTGGAGAGGAGAGCACTGTCCTTGCACTGCAGATCTTGTGAAGTGAAAACAGACAGCACTGATTCACAGAGCCTTTTGCTGGAGAGAGGCAGAGGGTGTGAGGAGCTGGACAGAACTAATGGTATGTTGGATCAGGAGCTCCAAACTGCTACAAGACTCCAGGCATAGAAGATGGCATTACGTGAACACATGTAACTATATGATCAGAAAAGCTGCTTAACTGAGTTACTGAACAAGTAAAATCTAACATCAGTTTTACATACTCTTTTCCTGATCATGCTTTAAAATATTTCCTTCCAAATGATGCTGCAATGGAGGCAATGGAAGGCTTCCTAATTCCTGCTAGCAGAGCTCAGTGACCCTTTCAAGGTACTTCACCAACTCTGTGCCTTTTTAACGGTGTGTCACGCTGCAAGTGACAGTGTGGCACCCGCAGTACAAATCTAATTTTAAAAGCATGCTTTCCATTCATTCGTTGTTGCTTTGATTTATTTTATTAGTGAGCTGCTTTGTGTGGTGACAGAACTCATTACAACCTCCATAAAGACAATTACCAGTCCTTATCTATACAACTGGAAGAAGGGGGAGAGGGAAAGAGCGTGACGTGCATTGGTAAAACACAGCTAACAAAAGCGTAAGAAAGCCAGAGTTAAAGGTCAGGAAATCGCATCCAAGGGTCTGTCAAGGAATAACTGCAAGGGAAGGAAACCCAAAATAGCTGTGTGCTCACTAAGGGAATGCTTCCAGTCAGTGAGATTTGGTTGTCTTTAAACAGGGGTACAGTTCCCAGGCATGACACACCAAAACTTACACTGCTAAAAATACGATGCTGTCAGACAGCTGGAACGGTGCTGATCTGTGGGGCAGCACCTCATGCCTTCCCCACAACACTGACTGTCACTGACTGCCTTCTCCTTAGGGCCAGGGGAGCCAGCTTCTTCTTGTTGCTGTTTTACAGAGGGTGAGATGGTGCCTCACTCCTTGGCTGACACGACAGTAAAACATCACAGCCTGAACTTGACACACCTGATTTCAATCAGCCATTTACTAGAACACCGTAAGAACAAGAATTAAAGCTGGACAGGCAGACAGTGCTTTACACAATAATCTAATCAGATCTCATCAGGAGAGAACAGGAAATTTCTCTTCCTCCTCAGGCACAATTTTGCCAATCTCCATTTTGGGCTTGGAATCCAGCAGCTGACAGATCTGCTGGAATTAAGGGAAAACCTGGCTACACTGAGGTCAATGGGCCTACTGCAACAGATTTAGCTAAGGCCACAATCTCGCCCTAATAATAAAAATGTACACAAGGGAAATAAAATAACAGCACCGGTGATATTACTTCCATCTTCCCAGTGGCCTGGAGAGCTGTAACTCCATATTCATAAAGCAACGCCTGAGCCTTTGACTCAGTCAGTATGCTATGAAAGCACCAGATAATATACCACCTATTCTCTACATGGGAATGTTATGCTGATCCAATTCCCTTTCTGCAATTTCAGAAAACAATGTCAGGTAAGACAGCTGAACCTCTCCTCTCAAACACACAATACAATGCTGCAGTTGGTCTGTGAACACAAATTATCTGGGAATACAAGGTTTATGGTTTCCGAAGACTGCACCATGATGAGCCAATGCTTCCCGAGAGAGGGAAAAAACACAAAAGAGAGAGTTAAGCCTTGAAAACAAAGCTGCTCCTGCAAGGCACAACAGAAATGAAGACCATGGGATGGACCAACAGAGAGAAGCTGGCTGATTGTCTGAGCACACACTGAAAGGTGGGAAGAAAAAGACACAGAGAATGAGTCAGGGGGGTTCTCTGCATAACAAGGAAGGTGAGAGGATGAAAGCAAGGGAAACCAATAATTCAGGAAAAGTGTAATCCTTTTTATTAGAAGCATCAGCTGCTCCTGCAGCTGGGACTTAGTGCTCTATAAGAGATTAAGGTAGCTCATGGGGCACTGGGATCTGCGTGTTTGCACAGCACCTTCTCTCACATCACACACCAGCACAGCCCCTCCTCACCGTCTGGAGCATTCAAGAGTAATGACAGCACTTTCCAATAATCAGAGAGTGGAGGGGAGCCCTTCCCTGCTGCTGCTTGGTGGGAGGCTGCTCTGGAACCTGAACCAAGCACACAGGGTGAACAGAGGCAAAAAATTCAAGTCATTGATCCAAAACTGATCTGTGCATCACCACATAGGAAGGGAGAAAGAAGCCACCCTGTACTGCAGCCGAGAGCCTTAGAATTAAGCAGCATGTGCTGGCTAAAAAGAACCCCCCCCCAAAAAAAAGCAGCAGAATGCCCAGCCTGTTTCAGTGTGGGCAAACGTGAGCTGCTGGAAAGTGGTGTGAGTATGTGCCTGGAATAAGCAGTGGAGGCTCACAATCAGCACTGACTTCAGCAACACAACTGGAAATGTTCAGAAGGGATCCCTTGGCAGCTGCACCCGAACTACATGCCTGCCAGTGGCAACATGGGAATAAGAAATGTGCTGCTGATATGGGGCACAGGAGATGCAGGCATTGGACTTGTGAACAGAAGCTATGGAGCACTTGGATTTGTTGGAAATCAGAAGCAATCCGTGTTGATGCTTTGGGAAAAGGGTTTGGAAAAATGCAATGATCTACCATCACCACAATAAATGCAGTGGCTGTTTCCTATTGCTGAAGCACAGAGTGAAGACCACAAGTACTGCCCAGCTTTTCTGTCTTCCCTTTAATTGTTCTTTGCAGGGCAGCTGCAAAGTTGGCTTGTTTGAACCAAGCCTTTGAATTTTATTAAGGCTTTACAACCTCTTATTGCTCTTGAAGTACAATGTGCAATTAAAGGATAGAGAACCACGCCACTCAAGATCTGAAGTACAAAGTACAGCTATATTTATGCCTATATGAGCCAGAGACATCCCTTTTTACTCTTCTGTTTCCCCACACCCCAAAAAATCAGAGACTATATATTTATGGAAGAGAGGCGTGAAGCAGTTTACTGAAGATTATGTAAGCCAAACAGAAGAGAAGCCAAAAAAAATACTGGAAAAGAGGCAACATGATCTCAAATGAAACTGAGCGTAGATAAGTGCTGTAAAAAGTAGCATTTGCAGGAAGGAACAGTTTAAATGCTCCATATATACTGCTCCAAATTAAATGCATTTATGTAAAAAAAAAATGAAGTGGTTACGTAGGCAGCTATTAAGTTGTGTTTAGAAGAGGAAAGGCCCATTGTAACTTTGGGTAAAGCATTCAATTTTGCTCACATAATTTCAGGAAGATAAAAAAGAGCAGGAAAAGCTGTAAGAGAGAAGAAGTATAGAAAGGACTGCAAAAAAGCCAGAAAATCCACCTCGATGAAGTCCATTGAACAGAGGAACCACGGCTGTAGTTAGGGGGAACAGAAAGGAAAGGTGACAAGTGCCCCACAGAGACAGCTGTGAATGCTTGTTACCCCTTCTCTAAAATGCAAGAACATGCTCCAAGGTCAGCAGCTGGGATGGAGGAGATGGGGGAGGAGGAGAATGGTTCTCTCAGAACACGGATCTGCAGAGCAGTTTGCCCGGAGCAAGCAGAGCTCAGGGAGCAGAGGAGGCTCATCTGAACACAGGCAACCCCTGCAAGGAGCACTGGAGCCTGGGACCTGCCTGCTGTGTCTGGGGATGACCTGACACAGGAAGACCTTTACCTGCAGAGGTGCTGGGTTAGAGGCACTGAGCTGCTCTGGATATACACAGGGCAAGAGGAGGAAGAAATGCCTGTTTTCTGCTTGAATATGGAAAGGATAGATGACTCCCTCAATTCCAATCTAGAAATTTGTTTTGAGGGACTGGTAAAACCCACAAAACCACAAACCAGCAGTTAGGGGTAGAAAGTTTGTTTCTAATGTGAAGTTCACCTAAATTTTTTTGTCCCTCCTGCATGCAATGTTTTCTAGTGATGTTTGGTGTACATGTTTCATACAAGGAGCAAGGCTTCTAGAGTTTGATCCACCCTGCAGCTAAATGTTTTCTGAGGTGCTAAACACTGATGATTTCTCTCTTGGCTTGCCTGAAAATTTCTGCTCAAGAGGAAGTAGAGCCAGCTGATGACAGAAATACATACGATCCCCAAACAGAGAGGCAAGAGGCTCCTAAATAAACTTGTTTATTCCCAGTCTCTCAGCAACAGAGCCCTGGATTTTAAAATAAAGGCAAAATCCAGTAAAGAACAGTCCATGCATGGCCAAAAAAGGAATATGCTTAAGAAAAAAAAAACCATCACGAAACAAACCCCCAAAAGCCCTCTATTCCTGGTGAGGCTCAAGAAGGCCAGATCCTGTGCAATGGATTAAAGACCAGCAGTACAAAAGAGAACCTGCACCCACAACGCCCAGACACAGGGATGGATTCTTTGTTAAAGCTGGGCTGTAAATCTGGCACGCTCAGAATCTGAAATCCCATGTGATAATAAATAATGTGAAAGCAGGTACCCCACGCCTAAAGCCAGAGCTTTAAATTATTTGACAGTGCACCTTTAACTACAAAATCTCAGTCTGCTTCTAAAGGTAAAATCGTAGCTCTAAGCTCGCCAGGAAATGTCATAGCTTCATAAATTCTATGAACAAACCTTCTATTCTTGCAATTCCAGCAGAATTATTAAATCTATCAGCCACAGATGAATGTATCAATTTATCTTAATTTCTGAAAATACACTGAGCCTCTTTCAGTGAAAACTTCATTTTTCTGGTGCACAATGAAAGAAAAAGGGGGGTCTTTGCAGAGATTAATTAAAGCAAATTTATCCCTCCATAAATTACCGTCTCTGGACTGAAATAAACCACAGTGTGTTTCAGAGGGGATAAGCAAACAGATGAATGAAGTAGTCTTATTTCCTGCAGATCAAGCAGTGTGACTGTCTGCTGTGGCACTGGAGACAAAGGGCTTGCCCAGCCACTGTCATCACTCTTGGAAACCAGCATTTTCAGAAAGGAAGAGAGGCTGAATACTGACACTGCCCCTCCTGCAGAGAATGAGTGTGTTACACAATTTCATGACATGGAACCCAAAGAGCAAATGGCTCTAACCTCTGCCACCATTACAGAGGACACGGGACCTCCAACGTGACTTTATTACTTATGTTTTTTTGTAAGCAAATGATGGAAGAAATGACTGTCTCAAGAACAATGTCTTTTCTCCCACTGTTTGCTGCCCAGTAGCTCACGGGGTGTATGTATGGCAAAATGGGTTGCTGTGGTTTGATATCCTCTGAATTGCACAGGGGCACTGAGATTTAGGAATCTGTCATGGAAGAGACCAGCCATGACTTTTCAGGGGGGACTTGCAGAATTTTAGCTGCTGAAGCTAAACTGCACTATAGTAGCAGTGCTGCCATCTTCTAGCCCTGTGCTGAGGCCAACTAGCTTAGATCAGTGGCATCCAGACACCTATAAAACTATATATTCAACTTCTGAAAGAGAGACCCCAGAGTTTAATGTAGAAAGGATTATTTCCATAGCCTCCAGGCTATGGAAAGGATTCCAGACTAGCCACCTGCCTTCAAGGGTCTGGGATATTCCAGTGGGTTTCCTAGATTGGATTTCAGAGTGCCATCTTGCAAGATAACACAGCTACCAGCAGTGTTGGTGGGTCACAGTGACATGTTACTACTAGTAAGCATTTTTAGTCAGCTGGCTAACTCTTAATTTTAAAGCCCTCAACTGAGCAGCTCAGTCAGTCAGTGAGTAACAGAACTGTCCCCAAGCCAGGCAGATAATGATCCAAAGCCATTGCCAGCAACAGTGCTATTAACTCCAGTTGTTGGGGATTTCTTCCTGGGTAATTAACAGACTCAGTTCCTCGCAGCCAGGAGTCAGATGGATTGACTACAGAGGGAAAGTTGCTCTCAGCTCTGGGAACTCGAGCTGAGGGTTGAGGTACTCAAATGGGCAAACACTGAGCTGCTGGAATCGTTCTTCCCTCAAGGAGGGGAGTGCTTCCTCATCTCGCCAGGGTGAGCACTAAGCAGCCCAAGAGTCAGAGAGCTCCACACAAGCTGACTTACCCTTGCTGGGAGGAGTGCATGCATCGGAATCTGTGACCACAGAGTGGGGACACCCCAGCTAATCATGCTCCAAAACTGACCCTCACAAGTGACTGGTCACACCATCGCTGTTTCTTCTGTGCACTATCTTACTACTCCCAGCTCTTTCACCTTTAGTCACACGCAAAAGCAAGGACAGGACAGATCATTCACATTCTGCGCCTCAGAACAATTCTTACTTTTCAAAACAAAAGTAATTTCCAGAGAACATGGCTCACCTTAAAGGATATTTCATACTGCTCTCCTCCCCATATCTCCAGACCTGCATCATACCCTCCCAGCTCCCAGAACCACTTTCTATCGACTGCAAACAGTCCTCCAGCCATTACAGGAGACCTTAAGGAAAAACCAGACTCCATATTACAAACACATTTAAAGATACAGATCTCTAACTAAACATTTAAAAAACAAAGCAAGATTTGACAAATATTCTTTTCACCACCTAGTGTTCCCGGTGCCTTTACAGCCCTGTCAGAGCATCAAACAGTTGTTTTGGCATTATCTACTGATTTCCCACTTGCAAAGGAGGAGGAGGACCAGACTAGGGTCCCTTCAGAACCAGCCAGTGCCTCTCCTCCAAACAGGCAGGAGTTCACCATTAAGTGACAGGACACGACCTCTCCCAGAGGGACCTGTGTGCTGCACACGTGGTGCTCTGCCTCAGTCATATGATCAAGTCATTGAGTTTAACCTCAAAAAGAGTTTTGTTAAGGTTTATTTTTTTAACACTGTATAAGGGACAGCATTACTTGTCTCAATGGTGGCAAGCACAGCAACAGCAGAAAACAACATCACAGATTTACGTCTGCAATGCACTGCAACCATCGAAATTGCTGTAATTATTCTGCTAGGTTTTCTTCTTCCCACACCTGAGAATGACATATAAGCCACCATTGGTTTGTTGTTTTTGGCAGAGCATTAGGGATACTAAGTTATGTTTGAAAGATCTCAGTAATAAATTACCACATTAGATGTTACACATTACAGTTTTCAATGAAATGTTAACTTCTGTGGGAATTAAGGTGGCAAAAAAACCAGCAATGAAAAGTAGAGTGTTCACAGCTACTATACAATGCCTTTCTTTTAAACCAACAAAGCAAACAGCTGCCAAAAAGCAAGTAGCTTAGCACCAGTTTCTGACTTTTACTATGCTGAGATGTAAACCAACCCTGTAACAGGGTGTTATTTCATTAGCTGGCTCTTAGCACACTGTGTTTCAGTAACTTACTCAAAGGGATCACTGGGATCAGGTTTCTGTAACTCAGGAGGAATAGGGATCCTCTTGTAGTACATCTCCCAGTCAAATGCACCTCGCATTGCGTCTCCAGCCTGAGTCTCATATCCAAAGTGGTCGTGATCAATAACATCAATCATAGGGCAAACGATGGTCTTGCGGTTTCGGGCAATGCGATCTGAAGATCGGAGAAACGTGTTAGAAAACCCACACCAGTTGGTTCCTTTGACCATGAAATTACAAAAAAAGAGCGTCAAAATATGAAGTTGTCCAGAAATGACACAGTTTTCTTCCCATTCCTTCTCTTTTGGGCAGATGCTCCAATTTATATCAATTTGTCTGCTAGTTCTGCAGTAATTAATAATTGAGATAAAAACACCAGGCACTCATCACCCAGAAGCAGAATAGGAAGACACAGGCACACTACAACAGATATCTACACTGCCAGGCTAAAACCAGACCCTCTTGTGCTCAGTGAGCAGTCCTCATTTTCACAAGCAACTGGGATGTGACCCTTTCTGCATGGATTCAAATCCAGGGAAACAACTCACTGCACCACCCAGCTCTAATTGCTACACCAGGATCTGCAGAAAGCGTTTCAGACTAATGGCATAACTACTCTCAGCAGGCCCAAGAAAGGCAAGTGTTACCTCCTCCCCTCAACCTTCTCTTCCAACCAAATACAACAACACAGGATTAATTCCTGCATAAGCATCTGGAATTTCTTAAATACTTTATTAATGAGACAGTCTCTTGTTGGAAGTTAACTTTCAGAGCAGAGGCGACAAATGATGTCTCAGTTTCCAAAACACGTCTAACACAAATCCTTTCTGTGCTTTAAAATCAGAGCATACTCTACGTGTTCTCATTTAAATGACGTTTGAGCTAATTCTGTCCTCCCTCCCTGGGGCTCATAAAGCTGCAAATGTTTTACACTATTGCCAGATATAAGCTGTAGTGAAAGCAAGGGGATAACCATCCAACAATCCTGCGGGCAAATCTGACTTGTGTTTCTTAAACCTCCACCTGACTGTTATTGCCAAAGCCTATGTGACAAAGTCACACCTCAGAGAGAGCTTTGGCAGGTCACTTGCCATGGGCTTGTGAAGGAGTTTGGTACTGGCCAGAGGCAGACAGGTACCAGAAACTGATGGCACTGTCCCTTCAATTAATCATCTCTGAAAAGAGCTGACATTGTCAAAGTGATGACTCCTTAAAGATGAAGCACTGCCTTGGAAAAGAGTGCCCATGTTCTACAAATACATACCAGCAGCTCTCATTCACAAGAAGTATTTTCCACAGGCTTGCAGACTACGAAGTTAAATATAGTTATATAGGAGATAAAACCCCTAAAAGCTACTCAAAACCTGCATGTACAGATCTTTTCTGTATGATAAAGCCATTCCTCTCTGCAAGCTGCTGAATGACCATATGATAGTTTACTTTTCTAACAAGCTGTAAATTATTTAAGATTTCATTTAGTGAGGCAAGAGAAGAATATGATCTCTGCTCTTTAATTAACCAAAGCATATGAGAGGGTTACTGCACAGTGTAGGACTGTAGAACAGAAAAATTCTTGTATTAAAGGCTACAAGTTGCCAACAACTCACTTGAGTCTTTTGGTTGGTTTGTTCTCCCTTTTATGATGTTTCATGTTCCTTTTGTCCATTTACAGTATGAGAGGAAAGCACCAGGTGGAAATAAACCAAATTTTACACCCCCACACTCACCTAACAGGGGTGGCAGCCAGTTCACGTTGGCCTCACAGTGGGAATCCAGGAAGGTGATGACGTCCCCTATGGCCACAGAGGCCCCCAGCATGCGAGTCCTGATCAGCCCTTCCCTCTTTTTGGTTCGGAGGATTCGTACATTTGGGAACTGGGCCATATAATCCTCCAGGCGTTTCTTCAGGTGTTCTGTATGAAAAGGAGAAATTTGAACACTGTAACAACTAATTTCTTAAAAACGCGGTTCCGTCTCTACCAGAAGGGGATGACTTTGGAAGTACGACCTGAACAGTTAACAAATGCAGTTAACAGGAAAAAGGAAGTAAGAATAATTGCTTTTAAATTCCAGGTTTAAAAATAACTGCTTAAGCGAGACTTTTGAAGATGTTCCAAAATCTTAGAAGCAATTAAACAGAAAAGAAAAGAGAAAAAAAAAGGCACTAGGAGAAAACGGAGTGCTGGATGAGAAAGAAAGCAGCAGAGGAAGAGGAAAAGAAATAAAAAAAACAGATGGCAGACCTCAGCTGGGATTCTTGGACACTGGTGGAAAACCAGAAGAGACACAGGGCAATTTACTTTCAGAATTAAACTGCACTCAGTGCATCAGTGCGTTTAAGTTGTGTTTGGTTTCTTCAAAACACACAATGTAACATCCACTCGTGCATAAATAAAAACCAGCAAAAAGCCTAGTCAGACACCCCTCCAAGCCACAAGGCAGGTACAGCCACAGTGGGTATGGGGATGGCTTTGTTATGTGCTTATCAGAGGAGATATTTGCATTTAAATACAGAAATATTTACACTGCTGAACATGGACTGGAGCCACATCTGAATTAGCACAGACACTGGCAGTCACCATGATTAACAAGAATTCAAACAGAAGAGCTGCAGAGGAAGATCACTGAGTGATCAAAACAATGGACAGCTTGTTCCAAAGTGGAGATAAGAAGCTTGGTCTACATAAAGAATAAGGGGCACACAGCTGTCTTTACATCAAAGAGTGCAGCAGCAAAGAAAAACCTAAAAATAGGCTGAGCTGACGCTGGTCTCATCACTAATGGGTTGATCTTTAAGTATCTGAAGCTTTGACTTACTTGACAGCAAACCTCATTGAGAGCATGCCAGGGACTGTTCATTAATGCCCCACACCACCCGCTGCCATCAGCAACCCATGGAGGAAAGAAGCCTTGCTGGGCAAAACTTAGCTTGTTAAATCTAAGCAAACATCTTAAAATCTCACGCAACAAAACCTGAGTAGAGGCAATCGCTGCAATACAAATAACCTCGCAGGGTTATTTGTCCTGACTGCAGGGAATACACCACTCCATTCTGTACAGCACAGTCCTCCTCAGCTTCCAAAGCAGGCATGAAAGGCAGGGGCTGGAAAGGCCAACAGCATGAAGTGCCCTTGAACAGGGCACCAGGGAGGCCGGGCATTGGAACAGCTCTCCGGAAAGAGCAAAGGAGCAAATAAACTTAACCCAGTTCTGAGCTCTCCCCCTTGGTGCTGACCTGGCAACTGTGGAAACAGGCAGAATCCCTGGGACTAACACACATTCTGCACCTTCCCTTTGAAGCAGCCATCGCCCGCCTTCCTTCAAAGATCACCCAAATCAACTTCCTTGCCTTTGAGGTATTCCTAGCAAGCTCTTTGCCCTGTTCAAAGCTTTGTTCATTCCCCAGGATTTTCTTTTCACAAATCCATTTTAGTGTTTTGCCTGGCAAAGTCTAATTGTCCCACAATATCTACACAGGTTTCCCTGCTCAATAGAGCCCTTAGGACTTCTTGCTGTCTAGTGTGCTTTTCCCTCATCCTTTTCAAATCTCTTCTGAATAGATCCTCTCAAGCAACCTGAAATTTTGTCCACTCAATTACGGATTTTTCAAATAAGGGCCCTCCACAGAGACCAGACGTATTATTAGCGCAGCTGCCTTCCTCCTGAGGCACTGGGTAGACTTAAAACAAGAAGAAAAAAAAAAAGAGTGAGAAATGAAAAAGCTACCACCACTGTTTAACATCAGAGCTTATCCCTTGCCATTGTCAGTTTATCACAATAGACTGTTTCATCAGAGAGAACAAACAATCCTCACTTCAAGCATAAATCAGCTAAGCCCAAGACAGGAGGTAGACCTTAGTTAATGTACCCAAGACCAGATAAACATGAGAGTGGCTGCTGGTGCTCATTAAAATAAAGGAGGGAACCATCACACAGAAGCTCTTGCTCTGATTCCCCAATAGCAGCCACAGATACTGCAGCACTTGGAAGATCAGACCCCAAACCAAACCTATGAAACACTGGAAAGTCTCAAAAAATCCAATGTAAAATATATAGAGAACTTCTGCAACTCTTTATTTTGATAGAAATGAGAAAATGAGACCGTGAAAGATCCCACAGGTTTGTCTTCCATCCGTGTGCTGGTCATTTTACATTTCAGCATCGTGTATCTTCCTGAACTGTTCTGATTTGTTGTGCAGTTTCATCTGTGCTGATGCCTGAAGGCAGCTGAACCAATTCCTCCAGGGGTACGAGCAGAGCACGCTCAGCCTGCTACCAAACACGAGTATGTTTGGGGATCTGGTCCCACACATGAACACACACACCCCAGAAGGTGAATAAAGAGTCACTGGACTTGGCCATATTTGTCGTGACAATGACAGCTGCTCTGCCCCAGACTGACTGAGGACAGGTTTTATACCTATTAATGAACAAGCAGCAAAAAACAGAGATTCCCCATTTTTATTGCATAACAGGGGAAAAGAAGGCACAGGAGCCTGAGTTTTCTCAGGTGAGTAGTCTGCAAAGAAACAGCAGGGAGTCTAATTCACTGACTTCCCACTGCATTCCCAAGTGCTGGGTTTGGTTCTTTCGCACTTCTTCACTACATTTCCATAGTAAAAAAATACCAAAGCATTTCACACTTGCAGTGGGTAGCCTGCTGTACCCTGCACTGGTGAGAAGTGTCTCACATCAGGAATATTATGTCTCTGATGGCTGGGAAAAGCAAGGAGAAACTGCAGGAACTCCACCAGCACCCACGTATTCACACTGCTCTGCAGGGGACACACGTACTGAGTGCTGTCCTTCAGCCAGCAGGGATGATGATCAGATAAGCTGTTCCCAACTGCTGCAGAAAAATCCACATTTGATCACTGCATTTTATAAGGTTAAGACTTCTGTATCATGAACTGCAAGTAGGCAGAGTTTATTGAATTTGCCTTTCCTAACTAAAGAGTCACAGACTTCCAGGCAACCTCACAATGTACAAAACTCTATAAAACGTACTCTTCAAAGACAGAGTTTTCTTATTTCCTTATCCCTGGGCTATTCCTACCACCCAGGCTTCTATATGCCCAGATAGAAAATACTTATTTCATTCTATTTCAAGTACTGGCACAATTTAGCCAATTTTTGCTTTTAAAAGAAAATATCAAAAAAAACAAACAAGCGGCATTAACTGCTAGAAAATTTTATGGGGCTTTAAAAAAAAATATACTATGGAATCTTGTCACACTGAGTAATTTTTATTACAAGGACAATTTTCTTTAATGAAAGTTGTTAGGTGAACTGGATGGATTCCAATGGCTGTGCCTACGCTGGGCACAGTAACACAGCCCAAATATATAAATGAGAGTAAGATTATCTGCAGATTAAAAACCAGGCTGGTAGCTTGCTAACAGACTTTGCAATAAACTTGATATACAGTGTATACATTAACAGCCCCAGTCAAGAACTACTGCTTTCTTTACTTTGAGCTGTAAATAAAACTGTGTGAAGAGAGCAGAGAAGCTTCAACAGCCAGCCTGCTTTACAGAAGCAGCCCTAATGTTTTCCAGAACAAGACTTTTTTTTTCCCCCCTAGGTCAAATTTCCATGGTGGTCTTACTGTACTTCTTCCTACTGGCCTCATCCAAGCAGAGCTGCCCTCAGATGCCACTAGTCTGGTGACCATTTGTAGCATGGCAAGGGCTTTCCAAGATGGGAATTTCTCATGTCCAGTTGACCATTCATTCCACCCACTGCACGCCCACCACCTGAACAGGCACCTGAGACATTCTAAACCAAACATATGCAGAAGCTGGAGGAGGACAGAAGATTGCAAGGATTTATTTTTTTTGTACAGCTTAAACACATGAGAAACAAGAGAATGAAGACATGGGTCTATGGGAAAGGTAGCACTGCAGTTTCAGGGTCCATGGGAAACAACTGTTCAAGTCACCATCCCTGGAGGTGTTTAAGAGGTGTCTGGATCTGGTGCTGGGCAGTGGTTTAGGGGTTCAGGGTTTACAGTGATAGCGCTGGGTTGATGGTTGGACCTGACGATCTTAAAGGTCTTTTCCAACCCTGATAATTCTGTGATTCAGAGTCAAAGCAGCAGTTAACTTGATCCACCTCCTCACAGCAAACCATGCAGCCCATCTCCAGGCAGCATCCCCTGCCTCCTCCCCACCTCTTTCACATCCCATCAGCTCAGCCACCTTTTCTCAGAGGCTCGTGCCAAGTCACCAGTAGGTTTGTAGCCTATTTTGAGCTGATTTGGCCCCGACCAAAGGCATTTCCCCACAGAAATCAGAGGAAGAGATCCAGCAGTTCTCCAGTTTCTAACATCTTTCCTGCATGCCTAAGTTCAACAGCTATTTGCCTCAAGAGCTGCTCTGCAGCAGAAAGGAACCTCACTCCCTGGAGCTCACATGGCTTGGTTTTACAACTGGCTGCAGCCACTGTAGTGACAGCTCACAGAGGAAGCCTGGGCTGTTTTGTGCCCTTTTCTCTCCCCCAAATCACACACCAAGACACAACATTTTTTTATGTATGTCCCTGCAACATCTCTGCAGTATTTGGCAGGGAAGGGAGTACCAATATTTGCCATTGAAAAAAAATTAACTCATTTTAAGTAACAGCCAGAACTTGAAACTATTAGAAATTTATGTCCTGAGAAAGAATTATGAATGAAACACTTCCCCTGTCCTACTAGTGGAACATTTCATGGTTCATATGATACTATCAGCTTTGGTTTCTGAATTTTACACTGTACAGCACATCTGCAACTCACAGAGCCCTTTGCCATATGTGTGTCATCAACCCAATCCAGAATGAGCAGCACTGCAGAAATCGGAAACATTCCCAGACACCTTCCCACGTTACTCAGATGCCACTGGTGACACCACAGCTCCCTCTGCCCTACAGCATC